CACCAGCCACATAAAGAAGGGAAGCTTTATTGGGATGGACTTGATTTGAACCAAAGTGCCCAAGATAAAAATGCAGTAACTAACCCACAATGTGCCCCCACAAACAGATTCCTAATGATCACTTGCAGTTCCCAAGATATGAGTCTATAAAACATGATATGGGAGTGTATCAACGATAGAGCACAAAACAGGGTGTCATCACCATCAAATGTTGTCCACGTTGTCATTAATTAACTGAATTAATATCGCTCATTTAGCACCTTTTCATTTTTGTCTGTTCTAACATTTTTTTGAAATTAGCATTGCTTTGATTTCAAACAAGATCAAAGATTAATTTATTGCATAACTATTGGTGAAAGTAGAAGTTAGACCATTACAAATATAAAAAGTAGATGCAGAAAGAAGAGGCTTTTAAAGATAAAACAAAAACAGAAGTTGTTGGAAAAGCTCAGCAGGTCTGGCAGCATCTGTGAAGAGAAATCAGAGTTAACGTTTCGGGCCCGGTGACCCTTCCTCAGAACTGCTGAGCTTTTCCAGCAACTTTTGTTTTTGTTTCTAATTTACAGCATCTGCAGTTCTTTTGGTTCTTATGAAGATGGAAGTCAGTTCAGTCCAATACCATTACAGTCCTGTTATTTGCTAGAAAATTTCTGTTTCAAAGTGAAGAGGTTATAAATTTGAGGTCAGGATTCTGCAGCAGTAATTCAGTAACTGATAACACAGTGTGGAGCTGGAGGAACACAGCGGGCCAGGCAGCATCAGAGCAGCAGGAAAGTTGACGTTCCGGGTCAGGAATGCTGTTCCTCCAGCTCCACACTGTTATCTCTGCATCTGCAGTTCTTGCTATCTCTGATTCAGTAACTAAGTTGTTTTTCCCACAGAAGCGTTCCCATTTCCTGCAAATGAACTGAGCAAAACAGCTTCTAAAAGGACCTGAAAACTCCTTTATTTCACTTTCATTGCACAGTAGGTGTGTCACTTCATAGCTGGTTCAGTACAACAGGCCTTACCTTTTTAATCTTTTAAGATCTGACTTTGTTTTTATTCATTCACAGGATGAGGGTGTTGCTGGCTCGGCAGCATTTATTGCCCATCCCTAATTGCTCAACCACGTTGCTGTGGGTCTGGAGTCACATGTAGGTCAGACCAGGTAAGGATTGCAGCTTCCCCTAAAGGACATTAGTGAATCAGATGGGTTTTTCCAACAATTGACAATGGATTCATGGTCATCATTAGACTCTTAATTCCAGATATTTTTATTGAATTCAAATTCCACCATCTGCCATGGTGCGATTTGAACTCAGTTCCCCAGAATGTTATCTAGGTCTCTGGCTTAACAGTCCACCGATAATACCACTAGGCCATTGCCTCCTCTAAACTACACTAATCCCATCTTTCAGCTCCCTTCCTCCCTTTTCTAATAAAAGGGAGACATTAGCAGTTCTTCAGTCCTCTGACAGCGATCATATGATCAGACAAGATTTCAAAATTGTTTAAAGGTTTTGAGAAGATTCTAGATCGGGTTGTGGATGAGGTTGTAGACTTGTTTGTTGAGCCGGTGTGTTTGACTGTAGACGTTTCGTCATCCTGCTAAGTAACATCATCAGTGCACCTCTGGTGAAGTGTTGGTGTTCTGTCCCGCTTGTTACTTATAAGCCTTAGTTTGCTGGGGTGGTTATGGGTGTACGCAAAGCAGGACAGGAGCCTTGTCAATTGTGTTAATTCCACGCATCGTGGGTGACACCTTTACTTTTTGAGACTGACTGATAATCTGTTTGTTGGGATTCCAGATGCTGTGATCTGCTACTCGGGACACCTTGTCTAGTTCCTGCCTTGTCCTAATGAACAGTGTGGTCCAGAAGACTCCAGTCAATCAGAGTTGCAGAGTTTTGAAGGGCCAAGTATGTTTTTTTCAAAGATAGGGCGTGTGAGAGAGAAAGCAGCAGCGTGTGAAGGCAGTTGAGTGACATTTTCTTGCATTATTGACCCGTATTTCCATGCAGCTTATTGAAGTGATTTTTGTTCAAGCCTATTTTTTTAAAAACAGCAGATAAACTGCACCTATTGTTTTATAGAACAATAAAATGCATTTACAGTTTGTTTAACATGGTAAAATGTCACAAAGTCCTAACAGACCAGATTAGTGACTAGATTTGACAGTAATCAACATAAAGGTCAGGTGATGAAAGACTTGGTCAAATAGGTTTTAATGATTTCCGCAGAGAGAGGTTGAGGGATGTGGTGTGTGTGTTCCAACATTGTAGAAGCAGGGATCAAAGGGATGTTACAGAGACTGTAGGAGGTTGCAGAGATAGGAAGGGATGTAAGGTGTGGAGGAGATTACAGAGATAGGGAGAGCTATAGGGGCTGGACAAGGTTACAGAGATAGGGTAGGGTTAGGTGCTGGAGGGGGTTATAGAGATATGGAGGGGTGTAGTTGCTGCAGGACATTACAGAAATATAGAGGGGTGTAGGAGCTGCAGGAAGTTAGAGAGATATTGAGATGTGCAAGTGGCTGGAGAGTTTACAGACAAAGGGAGGGGTGTATGGGCTGGAGGAAGTAACAGAGAGAAGTAAGGGTGTGTGGGTTAGAGGAGGTTACAAACAGACCTATTAATATCATTGAATGAAATTAATCTCTGAAAGCATCTCTGCTGATCTTGACCTTTGTTCACAGATCTTGTTTCAACAATTCCTATAATCCAGGGAGAAAAATAAAGTTCACAGTAAGGACAGGATTTTACTGTCTGTCGTGATAGGAATGAAAGTACAGGTGTAGTGAGAGATAGTAGGAACTGCAGATGCTGGAGAATCTGAGATAACGAGGTATGGAGCTGAATGAACACAGCAGGCCAAGCAGCATCAGAGGAGCAGGAAGACTGACGTTTCGGGCCTAGACCCTTCATCAGAAATGGGGGAGGGGAAGGAGGTTCTGAAATAAATAGGGAGAGAGGGGGAGGCTGATAGAAGATGGATAGAGGAGAAGATGGGTGGAGAGGAGACAGAAAGGTCAAAGAGGCAGGGATGGAGCCAGTAAAGGTGAGTGTAGGTAGGGAGGAGATAGGTCAGTCCAGGGAGGACGGACAGGTCAAGGGGGCGGGATGAGGTTAGTAGGTAGGAGATGGGGGTGCGGCTTGAGGTGGGAGGAGGGGATAGGTGGGAGTAAGAACAGGTTAGGGAGGCGGGGACGAGCTGGGCTGGTTTTGGGATGCGGTAGGGGGAGGGGAGATTTTGAAGCTTGTGAAATCCACATTGATACCATTGGCTGCAGGGCTCCCAAGCGGAATATGAGTTGCTGTTCCTGTAACCTTCAGGTGGCATCGTTGTGGCACTGCAGGAGGCCCAGGATGGACATGTCGTCTGAGGAATGGGAGGGGGAGTTGAAATGGTTTGCGACTGGGAGGTGCAGTTGTTTATTGCGAAGTACAGGTGTGATTGGCCAGGTTCCTAACGTTATCCTGTGACATGGAAACAGACAAATCAGTGATTGGCACCTAATTAGTATCATTTAACAGCCAATTCCTGAGCTTTTCTGAGATAACACAGTGTGGAGCTGGAGGAACACAGCAGGCAAGGGTCCCAACCCGAAATGTCAGCTTTCCTGCTCCTCTGATGCTGCCTGGCCTGCTGTGTTCCTTCAGCTCCACACTGTGTTATTGCTGACTCCAGCATCAGCAGTTTTCACTACTCCTGAGCTTTTCTGGCTTTTTTTCATTGTGGAGAGTACCAACTCCTTTGGGAGGTAGTTGAATTGTGAAAGGATCTGGTAAGACACACCATGAATATGCCTGGAGGCCATCCTTTCAAGAAGTAAATAAACAGTTGAGGAAATACTGCAGAAGGGGAGGCAAAAATGAAGTGCTGCCAGTGGAAGGGTGTCCCCCAGGTCAGTAGCAGCCTTTGGGAGTCAATTTAGCAAAGCAGCGTGATGCCAACAACATGGGTTCAATTCCCGTCTCTGGCTGAGGTCACCATGAAAGACTCTCCATCTCAACCACTCTCCTCACCTGAGGTATGGTGGCCCTCAGGTTAAACCACTAGTTGTCTCTCTCTCTCTCTCTCTCTCTAATGAAAGCAGCCCTTTGGTCTGATAAGACAATGGTGACTTGAATGGAGCAGTCTTTGGAGGGAGGACAAAGGCAGTTCATTGTAGTGAATGTTCCATTTGGCTGCCCAGTCAGCATTGACTCCAATGAGGAAGAGAGTGGCATAGAGATATGGGTGCAACCACACAGAGTGCCCATGCAGCAACCAGCAGGCACCCTCACAGCTGCAGAATGTGCTACTTGATCAAAGGATGTACTGTAAGAACGTTAGCTTCATGAGGAATGAGTAGGCATCGATGTCCTCAAAAGATTTCATCTCTCCAGACAGACTGAAAATCCACTGGAGTTTGAGTTAATGCCATTGAGAAGTGACAGACATTGACTGAGTGTTAGAATAAATGTTGGTTTATTCAAGGGATTGATTGGAGATCTGTGTGGGATCTGTATCACCAATCCATCATTACACTTGTGATGTCAGAGATGCCATTTGTCAGGTTGGCCAACTTATCAACGATCAATCTGGGCAGACAGCACAGACTGAAAATTCCCACAAGGAGCAAATGTAATAATGACAAATCTGTTTTACTGAGGGATAAATATTGTCCAGGACACTATGGAAAACTTCTTGCTCTCTTCCAAAATAATGCCATGGGATCTTTTAACTCCAGGCAAATGGGGAAGCAGTTTAGTATCTCATCTGAAGGAACACACTTCTGATAGTGCAGCGTTGTCTGGTACTGCACTGGATTTGTCAGCCTTCAACAGAATTTGAACCCACAATCTATGAGCAAGTTGAAGGTGCTATCCACTGAGACACAAATAGAAAGCCATGATAGAAGAAAACCAGAAAATACCAATAAAAGTATTTTGAACTCCTTTTTAAAACATAAACTTGGTTAGAATAGAATATTAAGTAAAATTAAAACTAAAACAGCAGACTGGAGAACATAGGAATTCAAGTCCTTCATTTTTATTTAAAATGATATTCAGCTTATCAGTATAAATGTGCCATTGCTGCAAACATTTTGTAAACCTGCCTCTACCTAAACATCAGAGAGTTAAGCAACTTTGTTGCATTCTAAAATTTTTAACGTCTGATGGTCAGGACACTGCAGTTACCATATACAGCAGTGTACAGAACTTTCACTTACATCATGGAGCCAAGCAACATAAATAAACTCCAGTGAGCTAGGGTCCCAACAACAATGTTAGGATTGCAACACTGTACTTTAATTAACATTAAAAATTCTTTTTTGTGGCACACTAATTAAGATTCACTGAACAAAGGTTATAAAAAAGTTAGGATTTCCATCGATAGACTTTTAATAACTCAAATTTCCAAAACCTTGGGTTAATATTTCTTCACTAAACCCAATTAATAGGAACAGGAAACATACAGAAAGCTTCAGTGGTGATGGGTGTGGGAGACATAGCTCCCTCCTTGTTCATGTAAAAATCCCCACAGCTTTTCATTTACTAACACAATCAGTGATTTTGCCATTTTGATACAATTAGGCAATAAATTAATTACAATCATTACCTTCATTCTTAAATTTTACAGAAGTGGAAAACAAAACTTCAAAACAGGCAAAGACAACAACATTTTGCCTAAATTTTACTGCAGATAAAGGTCGGAAACATTAATTCTGCTAATATTAAAGCAAAAGATGTATTTCTTTTTCTACATTATAGTTTAGTCTTTACTTCCTTGTAAACAAACACTATCTTAGCTGCCCTGTAATCAATCCATCTACCTCCCCCATCCTTACCCTCAAAAAACAAAAATAAAATTCTTGACTTGTCTGCCTTATAACTTACCTACCACCATGACAGCCATATGTACTAAAAAAGCCACATCCCTTCCTCCCTAAGGAGGTTTGTGATAATTAACTCTGATCACAGAATTCATCATCACCATTAATTTACTCTATTTTTACCATTTTAGACAAAGGCAGTACTGGCAGAGAAAGGAAGAAGTTGCATGGACTGTAACTTTTTAAATTTATGTCACTGATTTAATTTGAAAGTTCATATGAGTGATTGACATAAATTATAAAAAAGTTTAGGTTTCAAGGTTGGCAAATTGGAGAAGAAACTGAACAAATTATTGTTGTCCTGTTAATACTAACCTACTAGTGAAGGCCAGACCATGGTTAAGATTTCATTTTTCTTAAAGGACCAGTAATGCTCAGAAAAAAAGTTATTAAAATACTGCTGTTTGGTGACTTGAATTCCAGCAAAAGCTGCTCCAAGATAATGAATTAATTTCACGATGCAATGGAAATATAATTCTTATTTCTCATTTAACTACAGTGATACACAAACAAGTTATGTAGAATTTAATTTAAACATATTCAGCTCAGCACACAATATAAACAGTGACAAATGCCTGGGACAAATCATTTCTGCGCTCAATATATTAAGTCCTTTTTGGGAGTTCCATCAGAGAATGGTCCCCATTTGGTATGAGATTATAATTCTTTGGATTTATAAAATCTTGCGTGCCATCTTTTCCATGGCAGCTACAAATTTTTCTGTATGTCTAGTCTTTGTGTGAACTATGCCATGTATAACTAGTTAGTGTTTGTGGGTGGAACTGTCCAGTGGGGGAAACCAGAAAAATATGCATTTCAATGATTGGCCGGGCAGTGGGCAGCAGGCAGCCAATGAAGCATTTGTTCACAAGTAGCCCGGCCAGGCATCTGCTCCCCCCATTCCCCCTGACTGTAGGATGTTCATTCCTTGTGAGTGTGGGACATTATTGCTGCAGTCCGAGGGGAGATTCTGGGAACAGGAACTACTGCCATCTGTTCTCTAACTAGCAGCTCCTCTCCACTTTAGACTGTTGGAGCCACTGCTACTGCCTTCGCTCAGTTACCCATGCCTTGCTCCAACAGCGGTTCTCACTTCGCAACCTCTCCTCTCTAGCAGTTCAGCAAAGCTCCCGATACAGAAAACAACTTGCTCCCAATTTGCCCTATCAACCACACATCACACTGAAGCAGTCATGAATCTAAAGGTACATGTTGCTCATTTACTGATTAATGCATTGAAAAGGTACAAGTAATTGTGGCAGGGTTACCTTTAGATGATCATTTATAACATTCTAATGTGTTAAAGAGGTTCCCGAAGTTTGCTGTCTGTCATCAAGTTGCAGTCAAACCAATTCCATAATTTTGTCCTGCCCTTGGAAAGCTGACTTTTATCCACCTGTCCCATACAGTTGTGCCTCCATCTATTTGGTTTCCTCCTCCCAAGATTTTCACAATCCTTCCTTACAGTTCATCAACAGACCATTCAGCCCAACTGGTATATGTCTGAGCTTATGCTCCACATGAGTCTCCCCCACCCTGCCCTTCTCTTCATTTGACCTGACACACTTACTCTAGCTTACCATATTCTCCAGGATTTCTTGTAGATAAGTTCAATCAGGAATTTTTACTAAATGCGGAAGAAACTCTGCCTACAGGAAGTCGCCCGTCAAACATGTCTCTAACAAGTTTGCCACATTTTCCGTCCTTAGGAGTAAAAATGTCAGAGATCCTGGGACTGGGAGGGTTTTAAAGCTCTGTCAGGCTAAGGATGTGAAGGATGAGTTTCTAATTGGGGCGTGAGTAAAAACTGGAGTCATTTTCAAAATGCTGAAATGAAAGAAGGCAGTTTCACCTCCCTCTTGTTCAACAGCAGGTTTATGAACCGCTGCTGTTTTGTCAAGGTTGTAAGGTGAAAATGTAAATACATAACCTAATTGGAAGCTGTACCAAAGTGGCCTACGTGGACCGCAAACTTGAGACTAAAAGCTTGATTTCCTTTTCGAAGGGTTTAAGTGTCTGCAAACTCCATAAGGTTTCTGGAACATAATTTAAATCAAGATCGAAGGTTTAGCTCCAGGATTGCTTTGCCTTAACGGCAATAAGATGATGAACAAATTCTGCAACATAACACGTTACAAGGCACAGCAACATGCTGATTTTAATTTCTATGACCCCTTTGAACTAATAGTGTTGTTGATCAAAACACCTCGGACATGAACTCAAAATTTTTATATTTCACTGGAAAGCCAGCATTTCCCAAATTGTTTCCCACTATAACCCTATCTTAACTTGAAAATCGAGACCCCTCAGCGAGAGCAGGGCCTGAGTGAGAGCGCAATTATTGTTACTTGGTCTGAATTCCATGGCAACCATGACTACCTCAGATTTCTCAAGAATTTTAACCCACAGCCCCATTGGGGTCCTGACTCCATTTTGGCAGCCGTGGCTTAAGCCAAAGGATAGTTTAGACTTCATTCTGGAATTTCACAGGAATATAGTATCTCTGAATTGCACAAATGTGAGGCTGTGGGAGTGTGTGTTTTGGAAATAGTGTTGTTAATAGAATAGAAGTTATAAACTAACACAATCTGAAAGACAGTTCCACTCAATCTTTCATCTGAATTAAGCTGGTTTTGGGGCAGTACTAAATTCACATGGAAGACTCAACAAATAAAGAAGAAAGGTTAAGAATAAAGCTTAAATTAATTTCAGATTTCTAAATGGAAACATGGTCAGTTCTGGGAACAGACTCCCATTGGTCTAATAGGTTCTGCGTGTTGCATAATCTAAAACCATACTGGCTGCTCCAAGGAGAGCAGGATCAGAAAGATGAGACACAGCTATTTCAACGGTTTGTGTGGATGGCAGGGCTCGTTGGGCGATCACCTCTTTCACAATACTCTCATTGTGAGCAGCTAAAACTCCAGAGAGAATAACAAGAGCTGGATTCAGTGTGTGCAGAATGTTTGTAATACCGATTCCAAGTGCACAGCCAGCTGTGAAAAATAACAAGATTATGCTTGATTATCACAAAATTAAAAACAAAGGCATCAGAGCAGCTTATTCACACTTATTTTAAAGAGCTGTTACAGATTTGATGGATTGAATAGCCTTCTCTGCACTGCATTAATAAGCTATAATAGCTAGGTTACATCACTGATGCAACGTAGTAGAATATAAAATGTAAGCAATGAGTTTTAGAAGTTAAATAAGAAATTGAGTTAATTACTCGATATAAAAAAATTGCAATGTTCTGGACACTGTTCAGTCTGGGGATTTCCTGCTCTGCCAATTCTATAAATCTGTAAACTTCAGGTTGTCTGAGAGGCTGCTACCCATGCCTTACCTGGCACCAAATGCTGTTCACCTGGGCTGACAGGAACATTAGACTCATGAACAGACTAGACGATTCCATTTTTCTATCCTCCTGCACCATTCAATACGACCATGGGTCTGGTCTCAGCTCTACTTTCCTGCAAGTCCCCACAATTCCAGACTCTGGCGTTGATCAAAAATCGCTAACACAGACTTGAATAAATTCAATGACTCAGCCTCTGCGGTATCTCTGGCTAGGCTGCTCCCAAATCCCGAGACAAAACACACTCATCTTCATATTGAAAAGGAGACCTCATTTTTAAATTGTGTTCACTAGCATTAGCTTCTCTCACAAAGGAACACATCTCTGGTATCTACCCTATCCAATCATCTCAAGGTCTTATACATTTCAATAAGATCACCTTTAATTCTGCTACGTTCCAATGGAAATGGACACAAACCTTTCTTCATAGTATCAGCCCTTTATCGCAGGAAAAAAACAAGTGGAATTTCTCTGAACTGCTTCTAATGCAATTAATTCCCACTTCTAATAAGGAGACCAAAACATTACTTCAGATGTGATCTGTACAGCTGCAATGAAATTTCTTCGCTTTTCTATTCCATTCCCACTATAATAAACATCAACATTCCATTTACTGTAACTACAAACTAACTGTGTGATTCAGATAATCGGGCACCCAGAACCCCTTTAACACAATCTCTCTCCATTTAACAGTATATTGTTTTTCTATTCTTTCCACCAAAATTGATCGGTTCACATTGACCCACATAATACTCCATGTGGAAGTTTCTTGCTCATTCACTTAACCTTAATCTTTGCAGACTCTCTTCGTCTTCTTGACAACTTATTTTCCTACTCATCTTTTATCCATAGAATCCCTACAGTGTGGAAACAGGCCCTTCGGCCCAACAAGTCCACACCGACCCTCAGAACATCCCACCCAGACCCATGCCCCTGTAACCCACCTAATCTATACATCCCTGAACACTATAGGCAATTTAGCATGGCCAATCCACCTAGCCTGCACATCTTTGGACTGTGGGAGGAAACTCATGCAGACACAGGGAGAATGTGCAAACTCATGGCGAGGTTGCACAAACTCCATATGTACAGTCACCTGAGGGTGGAATCGAACCTGGGCCTCTGGCACTGTGAGGCAGCAGTGCTAACCACTGAGCAACTCTCTTGGTGTGATTGGTAGCTTTATGTTACTATACATTTGGTGCCTCCATGCAAGTCATTGATATAGATTGTTAGAGTGAGGTCCCAGCACCGATCACAGTGGTAATACACTAATTACAGCTTGCCAACCTGAAAAAGATCCATTCATCCCTATTCTCTACATGGATTAGCCAACCAATATTTTTTTCCAAGCTAATTGATTTTACGAGCCTTCACACCTGCTTTGTTCTGGATGGTGTCAAGGTTCTTGAGTGTTGTTGGAGCTGCACCCATCCAGGCAAGTGGGGAGTATTCCATCACACTCCTGACTTGTACCTTGTAGATGGTGAACAGGCTTTGGGGAGTCAGGAGGTGAGTTACCCGCTAGAGGATTCCTAGCCTCTGACTGGAAGATTCTAACTAAAGAATGCAATACCCCTGCAGTCTTTTCCTTGAAAATTGTATGTGGGAGGCCATCTGGTCCTGGGGACTTGTTAGTCTTTAGGGTTTAATTGTTTTCTCTCACTTTTCTTCAGGTAATTATTTTAACGTCCTTCCTCCCTCCCTGTCTTTTACATCTCAATCAGCAAAGAAATCCTGCAGGTAAAAGCCCAGGTTTTCCGGTACAAATTATTTTAATGTAAATGGTAATCACTGATGCTGATCAGATGAATTAGATCTAGGTCTCATGAATATGATGACAAGTTGAAGCTGATTGAGGGCCAAACTGTCACCTCCTATCACAACAATGTTACTGTAATCCAAACTGCAGCCACTGCTCTTTCTTAACTTACCTCACTGCAGAGTTTATCAGATTAGTGTGTACTCTCCACGTGCTATGAATTACCTGTTCGGAGGACTTTCCGTGCCTCAGTACTCCCTCGTTCTGCAGCTTGAATGAGATGAATTGCACTCACTGTTTCCTCATTTTTGAGAGACATTCCTTCCACTAGGAGCAAATCTTCTGCAAGAGGCAAACAGAAATATTAAACAGAGCTGATGATAAGAAGTCCTTTCAGAACAGTGAATGGCGCAGCAACTTGCACTGGAAGCCACATCAATTAATACACAGGGTCCTGTTCGTTACAGACAAGAAAGTCTACACAGACTGCACTGTGACAACTCAACAAAACGGTGTCAGCCATTTGTCAGGGCACTGCCTTAACCAACCTTAATCATCCTATCTTGTTTAAAATTTAAACAAAGCTGGGCAGTTGACTGTCAGTCATCAGTAATTGATATTTCCCATCACAATACCTCTATCTGATTCCACTTGCCAACCAATCAGTATTCTCCTCTCATACATGTTTTCCCTTTACTTTGCTCTTTCTTGCCACTTGTCCTGACAAGTGCAAACAAAAAGCTTCTACAAAATGTTTTCCTCACTAATCAAATAAATGGAACCATAGACTAGAACCACAGATAGAGCAGTGGATGTGGTATACATGGATTTAAGTAAAGCGTTTGATAAGGTTCCCCATGGTAGGCTCATGCAGAAAGTAAGGAGGCATGGGATAGGGGGAAATGTGGCAGATTGGATTCAGAATTGGCTGACCCTCAGAAGACACAGGGTGGTAGTGGACGGAAAATATTCAACATGGTGCTCAGTTATGCGTGGTGTACCACAAGGATCTGTTCTGGGTCCTCTTCTATTTGTAATTTTTGTAAATGATTTGGATGTAGGAGTGGAAGAACGGATTAGTAAGTTCGCGGACGATACAAAGGTGGGTCGAGTTGTGGATAGTGTGGACGGCTGTTCTAGGTTACAAAGAGACACTGATAGGATGCAGAGCTGGGCTGAAAAGTGGCAGATGGAGTTTAACCCTGAAAAGTGTGAGGTGATTCATTTTGGAAGGACAAATTTGAAAGCAGAATATAGGGTTAACGGAAAGATTCTTGGCAATGTGGAGGAGCAGAGGGATCTTGGAGTTCATGTCCACAGTTCCTGAATGCTGCCACCCAGGTGGATACAGTTGTTAAGAAGGCGTATGGTATGTTAGCTTTCATTAATATAGGGATTGAGTTGAAGAGCCGTGAAGTTATGCTGCAGCTATACAAAAGCCTGGTTTGGTCACATCTGGAGTGTCGTGTCCAGTTCTGGTCGCCTCATTACAGGAAAGATGTGGAAGCGTTGGAAAAGGTGCAGAGGAGATTTACCAGGATGTTGATCCATCCTTTTCTGATGAAGGGTCTAGGCCCGAAACGTCAGCCTCTCTGCTCCTATGATGCTGCTTGGCCCGCTGTGTTCATCCAGCCCTGCACCTTGTTGTCTCGGATTCACCAGCATCTGCAGTTCCTACTATCTCTTTACCAGGATGTTGCCTGGAATGGAGGGAAGGTCTTACGAGGAAAGGTTGAGAGAGCTAGGGCTTTTCTCTTTAGAACGATGAAGGATGAGAGGTGACTTGATAGAGGTGTACAAAATGATTAGAGGTATAGATAGAGTGGACAGCCAGAGACTTTTTCCTAGGGTGGAGGTAGCTATTACGAGGGGGCATAGTTTTAAAAAGTGAGTGGAGGTAGATATAGGGGAGACGTCAGAGGTAGGTTCTTTACTCAGAGTGGTCGCGGCGTGGAATGCATTGCCAGAGAGGGTAGTGGAGTCAGCCTCATTAGGAGCATTTAAGCTGCTATTAGATAGGCATATGGATGATAGTATAAGGTAGGGGTGGAGGTTAGACAGATCTTAGATTTAGAGTAAAAGTTCAGCACAACATCGTCGGCTGAAGGGCCTGTACTGTGCTGTACTATGTTCTATGTTCTAAAATGAGAGGGTATAGATTTAAAGTGGTAAAAGAAGCAGACGCAACATGATGAAAATCATTTTCAGACAGTCAGTGGTTACAGTCTGAAATACCCCCTCAGTGTGATGGAAGCAGTTCAGTTTTTTAAAAAATTTAGGCATTAGCAGCAGAATTTGCACAATCTGTAACCGCATGGCCTAGCATATCACCCACTTAACCATTAGCAACAAGCCAGGAGATCGACTGTGGTTCAACGGAGAGAACAGGAGGGCAAACCAGGAGCAGCACCAGTATACCTGAAAATGAGGTGGTAACCTGGTGAAGCTATCAAACAGGACTAGTCACATTAGCAGCAAGTGATAGAGCTAAGCGACTCCACAACCAATAGATTAAATCTAAGCTCTGTAGATCTGCAATATCTAATCATGAATGGTGGTGAATGCTTAAACAACTCACTGGAAGAGTACGCTCCAAAAATATTCCCATCCTCAATGATGCAGGAGTGAGCATATTAGCGCTAAAGATAAGGCTGAAGCATTCACAGCAATCTTCAGGCAGAAATGCCAAGTGGATAATCCATCTCCTCCAGTGGTCTCCAGCATTACAGATACCAGTCTCCAGTCGATTCGATTCGCTCCACTTGTTATCAAGAAACGGATGGAAAAACTGGATACCGCATAGGCTGCGAGCCCTGACAACATTCCGATAATAGTACTGAAGATTTGTGCTCCAGAACTTGCTGCTCCCCTAGCCAAGCTCTTCCATTACAGTTACAACACTGGTATCTACCCAACAATGTGGAAAATTGCCCAGGTACATCCTGTATACAAAAAGTAGGCCAAATCCAACCTGGTCAATCACCAGATAGCAGCACTTGCTCAGCAATAATCTGCTCAGTGATGCCCAGTTTGGGTTCCCCCAGGGCCACTCAGCTCCTGATCTAATTACAGCCTTGGCTCAAGGATAAAAGAGCTGAATTCCAGAAGTGAGGTAAGTGTGAGTGCCCATGACATCAAAGCTGCAATCGACAGAGCGTAGCATCAAGGAGACCTAGTAAAACCAGAATCAACGGGTTTCAGGGGACAAACTCTCTGGTGGTTGGAGTCAACCTCACACATAGGAAAATGGTCGTGGTTGTTGGAGGTCAATCATCTCAGCTCCAGGTTTATGCAGGAGTTCCCAAGGCCCAACCATCTACAGCGGCTTCAATGACCTTCCCATCATCAAAAGGTCAGAATTGGGGATATTTGCTGATTATTTCACAATGTTCACCACCATTTGTGACTCCTTACATACTGAAGCAGTCCATGTTCAAATACATCAAGACCTGGACAATAGCCAGGCTTGGGTTGACAAGTGGCAAGTAACATTTGTGCTACTGCAAATAGCAGGCAATGACCATCTCCAATAAGGGGCAATCTAAAAACCACCTCTAACTGCCCCTTGACATTCAATGGTGTTACCTTGACTGAACACGCCACTATGAACATCTTGGGTGTTGCCATTGATCAAAAACTCAACTGGACTCACCACTCAATACAGTGGCTGCAAGATCAGTTCCCTCCACTAGTGATGCTAAGTATCAATAGTGTGTACTATCTACAAGATGATCTGCATCAATTCACAAAAGATCCATAATCAGCGCCTTTCAAACCCATGACCACTTCCATCTAAAAGGACAAGGGCAGCAAATACATGGGAGCATCACCACCTAGAAGTTCCCCTCCAACCCACTCACCACCCTCATTAGGAAATTCCGACGTGCCACAGCAAAAAACTGTAATGACCTCCTCAGAAGACAGACATGAGATACAGCCTATACAGTACCCTTTGTCATCCAGTACTTCCCAGGAGCAGAGAGACTATGTCATGTTCTTCACAGCCTTCAATACATTATCGATGATAATGAGCACTTCACTGTGATCTTCCCCACGCCTCCGCTTCTCACCGTCAAACCTTAAACAGTCCATTGCTCGCAGCAAACCACCCAGCCTTCAGGACGACATCGACCACAATACCACACAACCCTGTCATGACAACCCCTGCAAGACATGTCAGATCATCGACATGGGCACTACGTGGGAACACCACCCACCATGTACACAGCAAATACTTGCGTGACTTGACCAATGTTGTCTATCTCATACACTGCAGACAAGGATGCTCCGAGGCATGGGATATTGGCGAAACCATGCAGATGTTACAACAATGGATGAATGGACACTGCGCAATGATCACGGGACAGGGGTGTTTCCTCCCAGTGGGGGAACACTTCAGGGGTCAAGGACATTCAGCCTCAGATGTTCAGGTAAGCATCCTGCAAGGTGGACTTTGAGATACATAACAACGCAGAGTCGCCGTGCAGAAACTGATAGCCAAGTTCCATACCATGAGGACGGCCTCATGATCTTGGGTTCATGTTGCACTACAGGTGACCCCACATTATATACTTCCATACTCTCACTCTCACTCTCTCTCTCTCTCTCCTCTCTCACACACACACACACACACACACACTCTCTCTCTCTCTCTCTCACATAAACACACACTCGAACACTTACACAGACCCTGTCTCTCTCTCTCACACACACACTTTGTGTAGTTGCAGATACATTGTTTTGCTGAAAAAACAAACCTGACTCCAGTTTAAAACAGACAGATTCTAAGCAAGACCTTACACCTAAAATGTATTGCCTGACCTAAGATGTCACCTCTTGTATACATTGATAAAACCTTTAATTATCTCGGGACAATGACTTGAAAGGAATTTGGATTTTGCATTTTAATCAGGAGTCTCCTTCCTAACTGATTAAAGATTCAACAAGAGGTGGCAAGTTTCATGTTTGTCACCTTTCTGCTTATAAATTCTGTGTCTTATACGCTCTCTCACACTACGCCTGAGGAAGGGGCTATATTCCAAAGGGTTGCATTTTCAAATAAACCTGTTGGGCTATAACCTGGTGTCGCGTGATTTTTGACTTTGTCCACCTCAGTCCAACACAGGCATCTCCATATCAGGGAAATATACTGGCATTTCTTCAGTGTCACTGGGTCAAAATCCCGGAATTCTCTCCTTAAGGGAACTGTGGGTCAACCTCCAGCACATAGAATGCAGCAGCTCAAGAAGGCAGATCATCTTCTCAAGGACAGCTAGAAACATGGGAAGAGACATTGCTCTAACCCAAGGGACTGTGGAAGAAGGTGTTTAAAACAAAGAGTTACTGGAACTCATTCTATGTTGTATCTAGAGGCGGCCTTATTCAAGCAGTGGGTAAGGAGGTTAGACGCCTTGACTCAGTGGCTGTGTTTTCAAGGATCAGACTCTTGATTGGCTTTTCAACCAGAACTAGCTGTGAATCAATGGAAACATAATTAATCTCTGTATGTGGTCTGTAGAGCCACAACACAGATTCTTCTATGTAGCCAACACGCCTGCTCTAGGTTCCACACATCAATGGATTTAAGATGGCCTCCGAATTCCACTGTTAGGTTCCCATTCGAAACGATGTTATTGTCATTTTGTTAAATGAAAAATATTTAAATTTTTGGAAGTTGTGTCACTTACCATCATGTAACCTCTTTGCCTCTCTTTGTAATGCTATTCCTGAAGCGTATGCTTCTATACAGCCCCTACTCCCACACGTGCATTCAGGTCCATCCATTGACACCATGATGTGACCAAACTCAGCAGCACAGAACATACTGCCATGAATCAGCTCGTTATTGTGAATGATTCCCCCTCCAATTCCTAGTGAACAAAATTCATTCTTTGTTAGGTATCACCGATTACCACATGAACTTTACACTTCACAGACATCGCAATTTTCAAGCTGACTGCATCCTCCAGGATCTTATGATTCTATCAATCGTTCTTAATTCAATCTTCAAACACAATCAAATTACACCAAAATAGACTGTCAAATTGATGTACAGAGAGATCTGGGTGTTCAGGTCCATTGTACCCTGAAGGTGGCAACACAGGTGGATAGAGTGTCAAGAAGGCATACGGCATGCTTTCATTCATCGGACGGGGTATTGAGTACAAGAGTTGGCAGGTCATGTTACAGTTGTATAGGACTTTGGTTCGACCGCATTTGGAATACTGCGTACAGTTCTGGTCGCCACATTACCAAAAGGATGTAGATGCTTTGGAGAGGGTGCAGAGGAGGTTCACCAGGATGTTGCCTGATACGGAGGGCACTAGCTATGAAGAGAGGCTGAGTAGATTAGGATTATTTACATTAGAAAGACGGAGGTTGAGGGGGGGACCTGATTGAGGTCTACAAAATCATGAGGTATAGACAGGGTGGATAGCAAGAAGCTTTTTCCCCCAGAGTGGGGGACTCAATTACTAGGGGTCACTTTTTCAAGGTGAGAGGGGAAAAGTTTAAGGGAGATATGCCTGGAAAGTTCTTTACGCAGAGGTGGTGGGTGCCTGGAACACGTTGCCAGCGGAGGTGGTAGAGGCGGGCATGATAGCGTCATTTAAGATGTATCTAGACAGATACATGAATGGGCAGGGAGCAGAGGGATACAGATCCTTGGAAAATAGGCGACAGGTTTAGATAGAGGATCTGGATCGGCGCAGGCTTGGAGGGCCGAAGGGCCTGTTCCTGTGCTGTAATTTTCTTTTTCTTTGTTCACGATACTAAATAGTACAATTTTAAACAAACACAGAAATTTTAAACACAGAAACTCAGCAGGTCCGGCAGCATCTGTGGAGAGAGAAACAGTTAACCTTTCAAATCAGTGACCCTTCTTCAGAACTCAGTATAATTTTAACTTGAATCTAAAGGAGAACACAGAAATTAATTATTTATTAGTTGAGGTAATCACATCAAGACAATAACACTTGGAAAGAATACATCTAGATCACTCCATGTAGCTATAAAAGCCATGAGACATAGCAACAGAGGTAGGTCATTTGGCTCATCGAGTCTCCTTCACCATTCAATGAGATCACAGCTGATCTGATAATCGTCAACTTAATTTTCCCACCTTTTCTCCATAACCCTCGATTCACTTACTGATTAAGGCTATATCTCAGCCTTGAACGTAACTTTATAATCCAGCTTGTAAAGCCAGTTTTGGTAGAGAATTCCACAGATTCACTGCCTTCGGAGCAGAAAATCCTCCTCAATTCTGCCCCTGAGACCCCTCACTCTGAGATTATAACCTTTGGTCCTAGGCTCTCCCACAAGGTAAACTCTCTCTCCACTTCTCTGCATCTATCCTATTAAAGACTTCAAAGAATCTTCTATTCTTCAATAAGATCTCTCATCGTTCTAACTGAATACAAGATCAACCTACTCAACCTCCCCTCAAAAGAAAATCCTAGGATCAACATAATGAACCTTCTTTAGCCTGTTTCCACTAACAGTGCATCTTTCTTTAGACTTCTTTAGATGGACTTTTATACTTCATTCCCTTTGAAATAAAGGCCAACATTTCATTTGCCTTCCCTATTACCCAATGAACTTGAAGGCTAGCTTTTTGTGATTGATGGAGAAGGACTCCCAAATCCCTCTTTGCACAAGTTTTCTGCAGTATCTCTCCACTTAATATTCAGCTCTTCTAGTCTCCCTGCCAAAGTTCATAACTTCATATTTTCCGACATTATTTTTTGCCCACTCACTTAACCTGCCTATATCCCTCCATAGACTCTTTGCGTCGTCCACAAATTTGACGATACCACATTCACTTTCTTTGACAAAGATATTAATACAAATTAATAATAATTGTGGCCCCAGTACTGATCCTTGTGGCACTCCACTAGTTACAGGTTGCCATCCTGAAAATGCCCCCTGTATTCTATTAGTTAGCCAATCCTCTACCCATTCTAATAAACTACCCAAAACACCATTATTCAGTAAACATCGAGTATGGCTACTTATTAGGTAGATTTAGGTGTGGCACTGTATCAAATGCCTTCTGCAAATCCAAATATATTACAACTACTGATTTCCCTTTATATATCTTGCTTGTTTAGCCTTAAAGAATTCTAACAAATTTGTCAGGCCTGACATCTCCTTCATGAAGCGATGCTGACGCTGCTTGATTATGTTATGTGTTTCCAAACGTTCTGCTATTACAACCTTTATAATAGGCTGACCTATAGCTACCTGGCGTTTGTCTTATTCCATTTTGAATGAGGGTATTAACATAGATAGTTTTCAAAGCTTCAACACTTTTCCAGAATCTAAGGACCCTTGGAAGACTATTATCATTAGCTGTCTTACAAACTGAATCCAGCGATGTAAATAGATGAATGAGACCCAAGATGTCAGCTGGTGAGATCAGTTATAAAGCTGCTTGAATCTCTGCTGTTTAGGTGTCAGGGCACGGACACATTTTATGCTGAATTGAGTTGCTAGAGAGGTGCTCTTCACACTTTGCAGACTGCCTGGTGAAGGCTCTAGTGTGTATTTATACATTGTCTAATCACTAACTAGTAAGCATCTTCACACAGAACAATGAGGTAGGTAGGCAGTGGCAGAAAACTGAGCTCAATCTACTTACAACCGGAGCTGAATCAGTTGGTTATTGTCCTTTAATAAAAGAATTGGTTTATAGAAACACAGAAACATAGAAGATAGGAGCAGGAGACCATTCGGCCCTTTGAGCCTGCTCCACCATTCTTCATGATCATGGCTGATCATCCAACTCAATAGTCTAATCCTGCTTTCTCCCCATAACCTTTGATCCCATTCACCCCAAGCGCTATATCTAGTTGCCTCTTGAATACATTCAATGTTTTGGCATCAACTACTTCCTGCGGTAATGAATTCCACAGGCTCATCACTCTTTGGGTGAAGAAATGTCTCTTCATCTCCGTCCTAAATGGTCTACCCCAAATCCTCAAACTGTGATCCCTGGTTCTGGACACACCCACCATCGAGAATGTCCACCCTGCATCTACCCTGTCTAGTCCTGTTAGAATTTTATAAGTCTCTATGAGATTCCCCCCTCATTCATCTGAACTCCAGCGAAAACAATCCCAACCTACTCAATCTCTCCTCATACGTCAGTCCCGCCATCCCCGGAATCAGCCTGGCAAGCCTTCGCTGCACTCCCTCGAGAGCAAGAGCATCCTTCCTCAGGAAAGGAGACCAAAACTGCACTAAGTACTCCAGGTGTGGTCTCACCAAGGCCCTGTATAACTGCAACAACACATCCCTGCTCTTGTATTTGAAACCTCTCGCAATGAAGGCCAACATACCATTTGCCTTCTTTACCACCTGCTGCACCTGCATGCTTACCTTCAGCGACTGGTACACAAGGACTCCCAGGTCCCACTGCACATTCCCCTCTCCCAATTTACAGCCATTCAGGTAGTAATCTGCCTTCTTGTTTTTGCTTCCAAAGTGAATAACCTCACATTATCCAAATTATACTGCATCTGCCATTGATTTGCCCACTCACCCAACCTGTCGAGATTGTGCTGAAGGATCTCTGTATCCTCGTCACAGTTCACCCTCCCATCCAACTTGGAGATGTTACATTTTGTTCCCTCATCCAAATCATTAATATATATTGTGAATGGCTGGGGTCCCAGCACTGATCCCTGTGGCACCCCCACTAGTTACTGCCTGCCAATTTGAAAGGGACCCATTAATTCCTACTTTCCTGCTCCTCTGATGCTGCCTGGCCTGCTGTGTTCATCCAGCTCCACACCTTGTTATCTCAGACTCCAGCATCGGCAGTTCCTACTATCTCCCATTAATTTCAACCTTTTTTCCCCTCTCTGCCAACCAGTTTCCTATGCATCTCAAGACACTTCTCCCAATCCATGCTGTTTAATCTTGCACAATAATCTCTTATGCGGGGCTTTGTCAAATGCTTTCTGAAAGTCCATCAACTGGCTCCCCCTCATCAACCGTGCTAGTTACACTTTCATAGAATTCCAACAGATTTCCCAAGCGTGATTTCCCCTTCATAAATCCATGCTGACTCTGTCTGATCCTGCTTACTAAATGGACTGCTATAAAGTCCTTAATAATGGATTCAAGAATTTTCCCCACTACCGATGTTAAGTTTACTGGTCTATAATTCCCTGTTTTCTCTCTACCTCCCTTTTGAATACTGGAGTGATATTAGCCGCCCTCCAATCTGCAGGGACTGTTCCAGATTCTATAGATTAATGGAAGATGACTGCCAATGCATCCACTATTTCTAGAGCCACTTCCTTAAGTACTCTGGGATGTAGATTATCAGGCCCTGGGGATTTATTTGCCTTCAATCCCATCAATTTTCCCAGCACCATTTCTCTACTAATATTGATCTCCCTCAATTCTTTCCTCTCACTAAATCTTGCATTCTCCAACATTTCCATTACCCGATTCAGAGCCAAACCAATCCAAGGCTAATTCAGTTGACTTAGCTGTGAAAATAGATAAGTCCCCTGGGCCGGATGGGATTTATCCTAGGATTCTCTGGGAAGCTAGAGAGGAAATTGCAGAGCCTTTGGCTTTGATCTTTATGTCATCATTGTCTTCAGGAATAGTGCCAGAAGACTGGAGACTAGCAAATGTTGTCCCCTTGTTCAAGAAGGGGAGTAGAGACAACCCTGGTAATTATAGACCAGTGAGCTTTACTTCAGTTGTGGGTAAAGTGTTGGAAAGGATTATAAGAGATAGGATTTATAATCATCTAGAAAGGAATAATTTGATTAGGGATAGTCAACACGGTTTTGTGAAGGGTAGGTCGTGCCTCACAAACCTTATTGAGTTCTTTGAGAAGGTGACCAAACAGGTGGATGAGGGTAAAGCGGTTGATGTGGTGTATATGGATTTCAGTAAAGCGTTTGATAAGGTTCCCCATGGTAGGTTATTGCAGAAAATACGGAGGCATGGGATTGAGGGTGATTTAGCGGTTTGGATCAGAAATTGGCTAGCTGTAAGAAGACAGAGGGTGGTGGTTGATGGGAAATGTTCATCCTGGAGTTCAGTTACTAGTGGTGTACCTCAAGGATCTGTTTTGGGGCCACTGCTGTTTGTCATTTTTATAAATGACCTGGATGAGGGCATAGAAGGATGGGTTAGTAAATTTGCGGATGACACCAAAGTTGGTGGAGTTGTGAATAGTGCGGAAGGATGTTGCAGGTTACAGAGGGACATAGATAAGCTGCAGAGCTGGGCTGAGATGTGGCAAATGGAGTTTAATGCGGAAGAGTGTGAGGTGATTCACTTTGGAAGGAGTAACAGGAATACAGAGTACTGGGCTAATGGTAAGATTCTTGGTAGTGTGGATGAGCAGAAAGATCTCGGTGTCCATGTGCATAGATCACTGAAAGTTGCCATCCAGGTTGATAGCGTTGTTAAGAAGGCATACAGTATGTTAGGTTTTATTGGTAGAGGGATTGAGTTTCGGAGCCATGAGGTCATGTTGCAGCTGTACAAAACTCTGGTGCGGCCGCACTTGGAGTATTGCGGACAGTTCTGGTCGCCGCATTATAGGAAGGATGTGGAAGCATTGGAAAGGGTGCAGAGGAGATTTACCAGGATGTTGCCTGGTATGGAGGGAAGGTCTTATGAGGAAAGGCTGAGGGTTTTGAGGCTGTTTTCGTTAGAGAGAAGAAGGTTAAGAGGTGACTTGATAGAGACATACAAGATGATCAGAGGATTAGATAGGGTGGACAGTGGGAGCCTTTTTCCTCGGATGGTGATGGCTAGCACGAGGGGACATAGCTTTAAATTGAGGGGTGATAGATATAGGACAGATGTCAGAGGTAGGTCCTTTACTCAGAGAGTAGTAAGGGCGTGGAATGCCCTGCCTGCAAAAATAGTAGACTCGCCAACTTTAAGGGCATTTAAATGGTCATTGGATAAACATATGGATGATAATGGAATAGTTTAGGTTAGATGGGCTTCAGATTGGTTTCACAGCTCGGCGCAACATCGAGGGCCGAAGGGCCTGTACTGCGCTGTAATGTTCTATGTTCTATCTGCCTTTTGAACTGAAGAGACCAGGCTCCTTCACTGAAAGAGTGAATACACGTAGTTCTGCTATAACGCTTGTTTCGTTAACGTGAAGTGGCTGTAACGTGATTGATGAATAGTGGACTCTGTTTGGTTAATACGAACTTTCTGCTGTACAGGTATAGCGATTTTCTACAGCGATTTCCCTACAACGTGATTTTCTATAGCACGAGGTTGCACAAGAACGCAACTATCGTGTTACAGGAGAACTACCTGTATCCCAAGAACAACATGAACTGTAAACTGCAGTGTGAATAGGGTTGAGTGAATGTAAAATGTCTCTTAATGCTTTGAGTTCTGAAACAGATCAAGAGGTACTTTTTATTTCAGCTGACATCCAACTTAATACTTTTGGAGTTATGGCTTTGCTGCTATCTCTGCTGTATATGGGAACTGAATTTGAGGTCTTCCTGGTAGAACAATGTGACGTTTTGATTTTTCTATAATACTTTTTCCCCTTCAAGACTGAAATGGAGGTTAAATACACATAGTATTCTTGGTACCATCCAGTAAGGGAAAGGATTACTGAGTTACAATGGTGAAATTCATCCAATTGCTGAGTTGACCAGCAGAGAAATAAACCTGCATGAAAGCAATGGCACTTTTGACTGCATTTCTTCAAGAAATGACCCAAATACAGGAAAAATGGGAAAACATTTTTCAATGCCAGCCTACAGCAAAAAACCTAGAAGATTGCAGTATTGTAAAAGCATTTAATCAATGTGAGGATTTGACCAAGAAAATGATGCTCAGATAGCTTTTTTTCTCCCCCGCCCCCGCCACAGTGAAGCATCAATAGGATTCTGATGGGAGAAAATATACAGAATGTTATCTGAGAACAAAGATCGATAAATCGAGCAGTCTGGAGGATCACATGGCTCCTCTGGCTCAGAGATCGTGCCCTGTAGCTATTCCGGTCAGAAGTGAACCCATTCATTTCAATTTGAAAGTTTAAGAATTTACAAAATTCACTGCTCTTTTATTAAGGAACCTCGGAAAGGAAGGTTTGCCTAATTAAAAGTCTTAACGCAGAATATGGTATGTTTGCTGAACCTTCAATTAAAAAAGGACTGTCTGATGAAAGGATCAGAGAGCACTTACTGTGGCCACTACTTCAGGGTTCTTGTATGCCTGCAAAGATGGAATTGTAGACCTCAGCATCCCATAATGTCGGGAAATGGTTAAATTAACTGACTGTGTCATGAATTGGTGAGACATCTTACTCAATGTTTACCAAAAAAATATATGAACAGCATCATCAGAAGCATTTGACAGTTGTGCTGCTCCATAGCAGGAGTGATCACAGGACTGTATTGTGTGACAATTCAATACCAATGAAAAGCAGAAACAGATCAGCACATGATCTAAGTAACAACATTGGTTCAAATAACAAGTTGCCCTTTGCTGAAACTACACAATGAGGTGAGCAATCAGACAATGAAAGTTGGCTGTGGATTCTTCATTGCTAAAGACCATAAACTTCAAGCCATACATTCCTCTCATTTCACTGGTCAGTTAATTAGGCAGAAACAAAGACAGCCTGCTCTTCTGCTTTAAAAAGAATGTCAGGTTAAAGTGTTTGGAACACCGCTGATGTTTTGCAATCTTGGGCTTTTGCCTGACTGGCTCAAAGGTGGGAACACACTGTAACAACAACAATGAAAGGAACTGGGAAAACTAGTTATGACAGGTGCAAACAGACGCACAGAAAACAAAATTCACTGAGCTGGCTGAAGGCTCAGATTATGTACCCAAGTGTAAAAATTGGCTTATTTGATGCTATGTCTTGCTCACCTGTGCCAGTGATCACAGTTACAAAATTCTCCACTCCTTTTCCTAGACCAAACTTTCTTTCTGCCAGAGCAGCACAATTGCCATCATTGTCTACCCAAACAGGCAGCCGTAAGGTGTCTGACAGTGGCGTGCGGAGGTCCACTGAGACCCATTCCTGAATCAGTTTGGTGGAATGAAGCACAATTCCTTCATTGTGGTTGACACGGCCACCTGTGGAAATGCCTGAAGCATGTAACACAAATGTAAATAAGTTGCACAACAAAGGTTTCAAAACATCAAAGTTAGTTCTTCTCACCCCGATTATTGATTAGGACTCGACATAATCTTTAATACTTTCATTAGGCCTTTTAAATACAGCTATCAAGTACTAATCTTAATATCTGCGCTAAATGCAACAAAATTTACAGTTTAAAATACAAATTAGGAAATAGATAATGCTAATGTGTGTACATACAAAACTTAATGCTAATAAATATGATCCTGTAGTGTAGCATTAAAAACAACACAATGGTGCAGAATAGGCAAATAGAGAGTTTGGGCAGATAACATTCACACTTTCAGGTTATGTATTTGCTCACTTACTTATAATTGACATTCCTTACTATTTCTATCAACAGATAACTCTATCCATAGTTAAACCCTCATGCTTACTGAAGGGGTTAAGTTAGTTAATGATCAAAACTTTAGACACATAATCAGTAATAAGTAAGCTAACAAAGTAGGTGGGACCTAACAAATAAAGATATCCAGATTGTCTGAAGCCATGACATCAAAAACCTTGGATGAGGAACAATGTTTCCTACACCATTTGTAGGCAAAGATAATAAGGGACACATGGATGTTTAGTGTGGGAATAGTAATTGCAGTATGCATGCTGTATTCTATATAAAGCTCAAAGGGTTCTGCAATTCAGAGAGTGAGCTTCGAAATCATCTGTTAAAGCGTGTGTGTGTGTATATAATAAACAATTGCTATCTGTTCTTCTGCAGTCACCCATCAATTTATCACGTACCCCTACAACACTTACCAACTCCAAGAATTCTGCAGTTAAGCTTCACCGATTCACTGGCAGCCTCTACACACAGCTTCAGAATCAGTTCAATTCTTTCATCATATGTTTTGGGATTGGCTCGAGTGTATTTCTTTATGATTTCACCCTGCATATTATTCAAATAATAAGAATCACAAAATGAAAAATTCCTGTACACCTGCAATTTGAAATTAAATTCACTTTACCAAATAACATCATGATTCAACATTGAAACTCGGACACAATGGAGTTTGCTATTTGTGGTTGAGAGGTAGAGAATCCAATCAGCACCACAAGATCATGAGGAAGGGAAGGAATTCTGTTGTTCAGTGTCTATAAATGTCAATGCATTGAAAGCTATGCTGCCTGACCAACACTGCACCATATCCTGCTCATCTAACACTCCTGTGCTAGTTGAACTACATTCACTCACTGGGGATCAGGAATCAAATTTCAATTTTTCATCTTTGCATTTTAAGGCCTTGGTGGTGCTGTCCAATCTCGGCTCTCCCTACAACCTAAGGAACTCTGATTGATCTAACCATTGGCTTTTGGTGTACCTTCCCTACCTTCACCCCGTCACTGCTGGCTGCGGGTACTGTGCTTTGGAAATTCTTGGAATATCTCCTTCCTCTTCCCTGCAAGCCCAGATGTTGAAGGAAGTTTTTAGTCACTCACTAAAAGCCCTTGTTATAGTGTACAAGATGATGAGAGGCATAGATAGAGTGGATAGTCAGAGACTTTTTCCCAGGGCGGAAATGACTATTATGAGGGGGCATAATTTTAAGGTGATTGGAGGAAGGTATAGGGGAGATGTCAGAGGTAGGTTCTTTACACAGAGAGTGGTGGGCGTGTGGAATGCGCTGTCGGCAGTGGTAGTGGAGTCAGATACTTTAGAGACTTAAGCGACTCTTGGATAGGCACATGGAGGATAGTAAAATGTAGGATATGCAGGGTAGATTGATTTTAGTAGGATAATAGGTCGGCACAAAATCGTGGGCTGAAGGGCCTGTACTGTGCTGTACTGTTATGTTCTATCTAATATCAACCTCAAAAGATATGGGGGGCAGTAAACAAATCTGCCACAAAAGCTACAAACAGCCCACAAGACAAAGACAGACGAAAAATTCAAAACAGAGGGGAAGGTGCACCCACATACAGATTCACACAGTAACTGTACAAACTCGGTGTTCACAGTAGCCTGAAAACACTTTGGCCAGTTCTCTCACCACTGCTATCCCAACCACTCCTCTTCACTTGCTCAAATGTTGACCCTCCTGGCTGACTCCCACCCAATGATCTTCTTGCTCCTGCACAATGACCCTCTCGCAGTCACTACATTGAAGGAGCAGGAAGAGGCTGCTGGGTATGGAGGCCAGCATGCAGCATCAGCAGAGATCTAGGAACAGGAATAGGCCATCCAGCTGATCAAGCCTGTTCACTCATTTTAGATCATGGCAGATCAGCTCTTCCATGCCATTTTCTCACATTACCTCCATATCCCTTAATATAATTAGTCTCCAGAAACTTACTGATTTCGGTCTTGAATCTGTTCAGTGATTGAATTTCCACAACCTTCTGGGGTGGACAAATCCAAAGATTCATCACCTTCTGTATGAAAAGCATCCTCCTCAACTCAGTCTTAAATGGACCATTTCTCATCCTGGAGATTAAGTTCCCTCGTTCTCGGCTCACCAGCCAGGGTGCATATAGATTGGATGGTTCCCCTGTCATGCCCTTTTAAGAATTTTCTAAGTTTCAACGAGATCACTTTTCATTCTTTGAAACTCTACAGAATATCCAACTCCTCAATCTCTCCTCATAAAATATTTCCTGTCTCCCAGGGCTTAATCTGGTGAACCTCTGGTGCACTCCCTCTATGGCAAATATATCCTCTCCTTAGAAAGGAGAGCCAAAGGAGACCAAAACTGTACACAATACCCTGGTGTTATCCAACCACGACTCTACAGAATTGCAGCAAAATATCTTTACTCATGTATTCAATTTCCCTTGCAATGAATGCCAATGCTGCACCTACCATGAAAATTCTTTCATGGTCAAGGACACTCATACCCATTTGAACAACTGTACTTCCCAAACTCTCACCTGTTAAAAAACATAAGGTCTTTCTATTTACTCTAGCAAAGTGCATAACTTCACATTTATTTACATATTGCATTTGCCATGTTCTAGCCTATTCACTTAACCTATCCAAGACCTCTTGAAGCTTCTTTCACTCTTCTCACATAATGCACTCCCAACCAGTTTGATGCCTATGGCAAATTTGTAAATATCACAAATAGTCCATACATCTAACTCCTTTATTTAGACCGTGAACAGTTGTGGCCCTAGCAGTGACCTGTGTGGTACCCCCACTAATAACAGTCTGCAACCTGAGAATAATTCATTTATTCTTAACTTGCTTTTTGTCTACTAACCAGTTCCCCTTTGATTGTCACTTTTACATTAATGAGTAATTGTACTAGTGCACACAAGTGTGTTTAGGATCTTACAGATAGCCTTGGCAGGTAAAGATTAAGGGTAATCCAAAGAGATTCTACAAGTATGTTAACAGCAAAAGAGCAACGAGGGAGAAAATAGGGCCCCTTAAAGATCAAGAAGGTCATCTATTTGTGGAACCACAAGACGTGGGAGAGATACTAAACAAATATTTCACGCCAATATTTACTGTGGAGAAAGATAGGGGGCTAGGGAGCACAAGGGAAAAAATATTGATCTCTTGAAAACAGTCCACATTACTGAAGAGGAGGTGCGGGAGGTCCTAAAAAAAAACATCCAGGTGGATAAATCTCTGGGACCTGATCAAGTGTATCCCAAAACACCATGGGAAGCTAGCAAAGAAATTGTGGGGCCCCTAGCAGAGATATTTGCATCATCTTCAACCTAGGTGAGGTGCCAGAGGTGTGGAGGTTGGCTAATGTTGTGCCCTTATTTAAGAAAGGCTGTAAGGAAAAGCTTGGGAACTATAGACTGGTGAGTCTGACATCAGTGGTGGTAGGTTGTTGGAGGGGATTCTGAAAGATAGAATTTACATACATTTGGAGAGGCAAGGACTGATTAGGGATAGTCAGCATGGCTTTGTGTGTGGGAAATCACATCTCACAAACTTGATTGAGTTTTTTAAGGATGTGACCAAAAAGATAAACAACGGCAGAATGGTAGAAGTTTTCTACATGGAATTTAGTAAAGCCTTTGACAAGGTAGACTGGTTAGTAAAGTTAGATCACATGGGACACAGGAAGAGCTTGCCAACAGGATACAAAATTGGCTTGAGGTAGGAGACAGAAGGTGGTATTGGAGATAGTTTTTCAGACTGGAGGCCCATGACCAGCGTTGTTCCATAGGGATCAGTGCTGGGTCCACTTTTGTTTGCCATTTATATAAATGATTTAGATGAGAATATAGGAAGCATGGTTAGCAAGTTTGTGGATGACACCAAAACTGGTGGTATAGTAGTGAACAGTGATGGTGATCTAAGATTACAAAGAGATCTTGATCAATTGGGCCAATATGCTGAGGACTGCCAGATGGAGTTTAATTTGGATAAATGCGAGGTGTTGCATTTTGGTAAGAGCAGGACTTATACAGCTAATGGTAGAGCCCTGGGTAGTGCTGTAGAACAGAGACCTAGGGGTTCAGGCACATAATTCTTGAAAATTTCATCACAGATAGACAGGGTGGTTAAGAAGGCATTTAGCACACTTTCCTTCAATTGCTCAGACTACTGAGTATAGGAGTTGGGATGTCATGTTGTCGTTGTACAGAATGTTGGTGAAGCCACTTTTGGAGTACTGTGTACAATACGGGTCGCCCTGTTATAGGAAGAATATTATTAAATTGGCGATAGTTCAGAAGAGATTTACCAGGATGTCACTAGGACTGGAGGCCATAACTATGCTGAGAGGCTGGATATGCTGGGACTTTTTTCACTGGCGCATAGGAGGTTGAGGAGTCTCCTTATAGGGGTTTATAAAATCATGAGGAGCATAGATAAGGCGAATAACAAAGGTCTTTTCTCTAAGGTAGGGGAGTTCAAAACTAGAGGGCTTATTTTTAAGGCAAGGGGGAAAGATATAAACGGGACCTAAGGGGCAACTTTTTCACGCAGAGGGTGGTGCGTGTTTGGAATAAGCTGCCAGAGGAAGTGGTACATACAGATACAGTTAGAACAGTTAAAAGACATTTGAACAGGTACATGAATAGGAAAGGATAGAGGGATATATGACAAATGCAGACAAATGGGACTAGTTTGGTTTGGGAAACTTGATTGGCATTGGCAAGTTGGACCAAAGGGTCTGTTTCCACGCTGTACAACACTATGACTCCAATAAAAGATTTAATAACATATAAGACTATTAGCCATAGAAGTAGAAGTAGGCTATTCTGCTCATCTAGTCTGGTCCACCATTCAATGAGATAATGGCTGACCTGATAATCTTATGTTCCAAGATGGCGGGGGAGTAGGACTCCTCAGCCAGAGCTCGCTTGCTCCATCCGTTTCTTTTCTTTTTTCTCTCTCTTTTCACTTTTCTTTTCTTTAAAACATCCCGTCCTCAGGCGGCACCGACGACATCTACGGTGAATGCTAGAGCAGACTCCCGGCCTCAAGATGAAGCCCAGGGCAGTTTGGGTTGGAAGGATGTCATTCTGAACTCTCATTTCTCTATTTTTCTAATTTATTGATTGACTTTTTATTTCTTTATTTTCTAAACTTTTTCCTCTAAGAATTTGTACTTAATAATCTGTACTTAGATACATAAGATGGCACCATAAGGGGCGACTAATAAATGTTTCACTATACTCATGTGAGTACGTGACAATAATTCTAACTCTAATAATCCTCAACTCTGATTTCCTGCTCTTCCCCCATAACCCTGGATTCCCTTACTGATTAAAAATTTGCCAACATTGAATATACTTGACCCAGCCTTGATGCCCACGTGCAGTAAAGAATTCCACAGATTCATTACCCTCAGAAGATAAATTCTTTTGCTTAAATAGGCAACTCCTTAGACTGGGAGTATGTCCTCTGGTCTTAGACTCTTCCAGAAGGGGAAGCAACCTTTCTGCACCTACCCTATCAATCCCCCAAGAATCTTGTATGTTTCAATAGCACCACCTCTCATTCTTTTAAATTCGAACAACTCTTACTTTGGTATTTGTGCTGTCTTGTTTCTAAGGAAGAAAACCCTTAAAAAAAAGTTCAGTGTGACCTATTACCTAACAAAAGTCTTAAGGAAAATGAGAGGGGGGTGAAAAAGCATCTTATTCAAAAAAAAAAAAACCTTTGAAAAAGAAATGTTTTTGAGCCATACCATAATACCTTATTTTACCTGATGTCTGTTCATTTGATTGTAGCTCAGTGACTCACTGGGCAACAATTCCACATTAAGGCACTATATAAATAAAGTATCAGTACTATGTGACCAAGTGGCAAACAAATCACAGGTAGACAGGAGATTTCTGAAGAAAAAGGAAGTCAGAGCACAAACCAACACTCATTGCCAAACAAAAGGATGATTACCTTCATGCTGACAATGGCCACCCGCAGATTGGTTCCTCCCAAATCTACAGCGAGAGCACTCTGTGTTTCCAGAATATGGTCAATATCCTGGGAGATGCATTCCTTCACAGGTGGGAAACAAAACTTCTTCTGCAAAGGCTCATTCATGTCTATCGACTTCAGAAACTTCAATATCCGTGGCACAGCATTCCCATCACCATAGATCTTAGAGCTTGAAATGGAAAGACATTCATTCATTAGGACTAATTCACCAAAGAATGTTTCACAAGATACAGGAGGAACTGAATTCATCCATTTTATCATCTCCATCCAGATATGAGGAATACACATTTTGACTTAGGGACCATGAGAAACTGGAAAGCAGAACAGTTTAGACATTCTGGTTTAAAAGGGTTTTTATCCTGTGATGTATTTGACATAAAGACAGCATTTTAATGAGCAGCTACAGTTGTAAAAACTTAAGAGCCTCACTAAGTGTAAATGGGAGACCGTTTTCTGACTCAGTGGTCTGATTCTCCAAATCATGCTTTGCCTCTGTAGAGATACAGCAGCAACATGAACCCTGGCTACATATTTAGAGAAAATCACGCTCCTTTCCTTTTTGTGGAAATTGGTTAGAGTAAGATCCGAGACCTTGCACTAACTTAAAGCTTAACCAACAATGGCATCCTTTCCCAGACTAACACGCCCAACATTGAGGTGGTAATCGCTCGATACCAGCTTGGCTGGGCAGAAAGTTATTACTGTGTCAAATACCACCACTGTGCTTGGAACTTGGAGCTCCCTACAGAGCTCAAAAATACCCTATTGATTAATAGGATGATTTGCAACCAACCAAAATGAAGGAGCTTTATTCGGAAAGGCAGTGAACACATTGTGAGATTCTGTTGGGAACATACAAGGGTGAAGTTGAGGTGTCAGAGGGAGGACATAGACCTTTGAACAACCTATCTACCGAACCCTTCAAACAGAACCTGCCCTGAGTGGGGCACAGTCTATGGATCAGGCATTGGAGTCATCAGCCATTCAGAACCCATCAAACCTGACAGGAAGCAGGTCATCCTTGATCTGGAGAGGCTGCCAAAGGGAAAAGTAAAACCAGGGACATACCAAGGGTACAGTTTCCCAAATTGGAGCTGCAGAGCGTGCAATATTTTATTCTGACTGTCAGCATTCCGCACATGGAGAACGTTTTCACCTAAGTCAGAAAACAGAACAAAAAGAAAATCAGACTTAGGTCCACAAAAAAAAAACCATTGATCAATTGTTAGTCCAAACAGGCTAATCTATCCCTCGTGTGTTTATCCAGCTTCCCCTTAAATTCGTTAACACTATTCTCCTCAACCAGTCCTTGAGGTAAATGAGCTCCACGTTCTCATCACTCACTGGATAAAGACATTTCTCCTGAATTGATGACTGAACATATTATGGACCGTCTTATACTGATGGTGCCAATTTTGTTCTCTCAATAAATGGAAACAATGGATTCAGATCTGTTGGCCATTGGCGGAATGCGAGAGCTTGCTACTGACTGCGACTTAAAACTGCTCACCTGCCATTTTACACAAGAAACTTTTCATCTTTCAATGTTGGTAACAGCTTGAATTTGGCAACAAAGAAACCAGGAGGTGCAGTGATGAGCTTAGTTTCAGCTGAATCACAGCCCTTTCATTTAGCCTGAACTGAAGACATGCCCCTTTAAGGGTGGTAATAAGACTGGCAGTTTTTATGTGGAACAGTCAACCTCTAAAACTGCACAGGTTCACCCTGGATAAGACTCACTAAACCCCAACACCTGAGAATGTCTGCTTCTGCGCTCCCACAAGCCACGACAACACACACCCAAGCTCACCCTCTGAGAAAATCCCTGTCACTCTCAGCTCTCCCCCATCTCACCAACTGTGGTACTCACTTCTGCTCACTGCACCCAGCCCACTCAATGCCCATTCTCAATCTCTGCGCACCCTCTGACAGACCAAAATCAATGATCTGAAAGAGAGAAGCAGAAGTGAGGTGTGCCATTGCTGGAACTGGGTGGGTTAAGGAGGTATGTTAAACATTGATGAGGGGGCACAGGAGTAAACACTGGCATACATTGACAATCAATTGAGCTGCACTTCTCAACAAACTTTCCACGTGCTAAGACAAGCTCTAAGTAAGTCCATGCGAAAAACCAATAGAGCTATCGAGTAAACAGCCCAGGTCAGCCTGGCTATGTTTACCTAATCTCACTGTTGAAAGGAATCATGCAGCAATCCAAACTGGATAAAAACAGCTCTGATCTTTAAACTTCCTGTGTCATTATCACAGTTCGAGATTTCCTTAGGGTCTTAAACCTGCTTAAATTGAGCAATTTGACACTCTCCATGTCAGAATATTTAGGCCATTTTCTCCATCTTTAAATCCTATTGTTAGGTGAAAATCAGGTTACTTATTGGTTGTCTATTTTCTAGATAAAAGAGGCCCAGCCAAACTGTTTTCACTATACTGTATTACAACTGTGAACACAGGGACTCTGCCAACTTGTTTGTGATATTGTTTGTTAGGAAATCACTCTCAGAAAGTCATACCTAACTCAAAACATTAACTGTGTTTCTATCTCCATGGATGCTGCCAGACTTGCTGAGTTTCTCCAGCATTTACAGTAAAAAAAGGAGGGTAGCTGGTCAGAAGTCGCAAGGAAACTAATAGTGGATCGGGAACAGGGACTAAATAAAATTAACGTAAGTAAAACATTGGTTATGAGGAATTTAACTGAATTTGAGAGTGACAAATCCCCAGGACTTGATGGCTTCCATTTGAGGGCATTAAAGGAAGTCGGGAAGTACAGTGCAGATGCCCAGAGTTCCCTAGATCCAGTCCATCTGGATTAGAAAACTGTACACTATTCCACTTCTTAAAAAGAATAAAAAAGGAAAATCAGGAAATTACAGACCAGTTAGCCTAACATTTGTGGTGCAGAAATTGTTGGAGTCTATAATCAAGGATGGGGTAACTGAACACCTTAACACTTTTCAGTTTATCAGGGAGAGCCAGCATAGATTAATGACACATAGGGCATGTCTGACAAAGCTCACTGAATTTTTTGAAGAAGTGATTAAGGTAAGTGGACAGGAGGATGTCTCTGTTTGTTGTTTGTATAGAGTTGTAGAATGCATTTGATAAAGTCCCATATAGAGACTGTTAATTAAGGCAGAAGCCCATGGAATTGAGGGCGAATTAGTTGCAGGATCAGTTGTTAATTTTAAATCTGAGATAGACACAGTTTTGTTTCCCCAATATCAATGTCAGGTTGACTGGCCTGTAGTTACCTGGTTTATCCTTCTCTCCTTTTTTTTTGAACAGGGATGAAATGTTAATAATCTTCCAGTTACTGGCACTACTCCCAGTTCTAAGGAAGTTTGCAAAACTGTGGCCACAACCTCCATAATTTCTTCCCTCAGCACCCTAGGAGTTGTTCCATCTCGACAAGGGTGGGTTTCCTACTTTAAGAGCTACTTTGAAATAACTCTTCTATTTTGTCATATTCAATATAGTTACTGACTTATGTTTATTGCCATATTGGCAGCATCCTCTTCTTTTATGAAGTCTGAAGCAAAGCAATCAATTCATATTTCAGTCATGTTCCGTGCCTTCATAAGATGATTTATCTTCAATTCTGCCGATCTTACCTCTCGTTTAATCGGTCCTACCTTTCCCTTGCCTGTTAATATTTATGAGAATATTTTGGCTTCCTCTTTATGTTGGTTGCTTATCTACTCTCATTGACAATAGGATTATCAAAACTAGGAACAGGAGTAAGCCACATGGTGTCCCAGGACTGCCCCACCATCTAATAAGATTCTGGCATTTAATATCAATCCTTTTCCACCTAATCCCCACATCCCTTCATACTCTACTCTGTTTTGCGTATACTCAACATCCACAATCTTCTGGGATAGAGAATCCAAAAAGTCATTACCCTTTTTGTGAACAAGTTTACAAGTTGAAGTGATGAAGATTCCAGTTCAAAGCTGCAAAAATGTTACTCTGGTCCAGGACAAACTGAGCAGACGGTCTGACTGCATATTTGTACATACCATTCTTTATCTTTCAGTGCCTGATACAGACCGTAAACACCAAAACTGATTCAGCTGGGAGCCCTTGTCTTTGAGCCAGAAAGTTCAAATTCCATCCGAGTAAAAGATGAACAAAATGTCAGTGCTAACGAATAGAGCGAACACTGGACTACTGGAAACTGAAGTTGCAGAAGTAGTAATGTGGAACAAAAGAAATGGTGGAGCAGCTCAATAGGTGCTTTGCATCAGTCTCCACAGTGGAAGACACCAGTGGTATACCAGAACTTCCAAAAGTCAGAGGGCAGAGGTGAGTGTAGTGGCCTTCATTAAGGAGAAGGCGCTGTGGAAGCTGAAAGGTCTGAAAATGGAAAAAAATCACTCAGAGTTCTGAAGGAGATAGCCGAGGAGATTGTGGAGGCATCAGTGGTGGTCTTTCAGAAATTACTGGAGTCAGGGAGGGTTCCAGAGGACTGGAAAATGGCAAATGTAACACCCAATGTTTAAGAAGGAAGGGAGGCAAAAGACAGAAAACTATAGGCTGGTTAGCCTGACCTCAGTCATTGGTAAGATTTTAGAGTCCATTATTAAGGATGAGATTGCAAAGTACTTGGAAGTGCATGGTAAAATACAGCTGAGTCATCATGGCTTCATCGAGGGAAAGTCACATCTGACAAAACAGTTCAAATTCTTTGAGGAAGTAATGAGCAAGTTAAATAATAGCCAGATGGTGTGATCTATTTGGGTTTCCAGGAGGCTTTTGACAAGGTCCTGCACAGAAGGCTGCTAAATAAGATAAGCCCATGGTTTTATGGGCAAGGTACTGGCATTGATAGAGGATTGGCTGACTGGCAGAAGGCAGAGAGTGGGGTTAAAGGGATTTTTTTCAGGATGGCAGCTGGTGATTAATGGAGTTCCACAGGTGTCAGTGTTGGGACCACAACTATTCACAAGTGGTTGAGGATTTTGGGTCTGTATTCGATGGAATTTAGAAGGATGAGGGGGGAATCTGACTGAAACTTGCAGATTACTGAGAAGTCTGGATTGACATGGAGAAGGTGTTTCCACTGGTAGGAGAGACTAGGACTTAAGGGCACAAGATCACAGTGAAGGAATGCCCCTTTGGAACTGAAGTGAGGAGGAATTTCTTCAGCCAGAAGATGGCATATCTGTGGAACTCATTTACACAGAAGGCTATGGAGACCAAGTCATTGAGTGTATTTAAGACACAGATAAACAGGTTCTTGATTAGTAAGGGGATCGAGGGTTAGAGGGAGAAGGCAGGAGAATGGAGTTGAGAAACATATCAGCCATGATTGTGGAGTGGCGCAGAGTCGATGGGCTGAATGGTCTAATTCTGCTCCTTTATGATGTGCTTATGATCTTATAGTTAGAGCAGCCAGACAGGGCCTTGCTTTATGAACTAAAGTGCTGTATACATGCAAGTTCATTCTCTCTCACTATGCCCAATGAAATGTTTCTACAATGACCATGGCATTCCTGTTGTCATAGAGTCACACAGCACGGAAACTGACCCTACAGTCCAACTTGTACGCACCAACCAAATATCCTAAACAGATCTAGTCCCATTTGCCAGCATTCAGCCTATATCCCTTTAAAGCTTCCTTATTCATGTATCCATCCAGATGCCTTTTAAATGTTGTCATTGTATCAGCCTGCACCATATCCTCTGGCAGCTCATTCCATTCACCCATCATCCTCTGCGTGAAAAAGTTACACCTCAGGTCCTTTTTATGCCTTTCCCCTCTCACCTTAAACCTATGCCCTTCTAGTTTTGGGCGCCCCCACCCTGAGAAAAAGACTTTGGCTATTTACTCTATCCATGCTCCTCATGATTTTATAAACCTCTGTAAGGTCACCTCCTCAGCCTCCAATGCTTCAGGGAACTACAGCCAGCCTATTCAGCGGCTCCCTATAGCTCAAACCCTCCAATCCCAGCAACATCCTTGTAAATCTGTTTGAATGTTTTCAAGTTTAACAACATCTCTCCTATACAGGGAGACCAGAATTGAATGCAGTTTTCTAAAAGTGGCCTAACCAATATCCTGTACAGCCACAACATGACGTCCCAACTTCCATACTCAATAAACAGACCTATGAAGGCAAGCATGCCAAAAGCCTTCATCACTGCCCTGTCTATTTAGGACTCCACTTTCAAGGAACTATGCACCTGCATCCCCGGGTCCCTTTGCTCGGTAACACTCCCTAGGGCCCTAATATTAACTGTATAAGTCCTGACCTTGTTTATTTTACCAAAATGCACACCTCACATTTATCTAAATCAAACTCCACATGCCCCTCGTCAGCCCATTGGTCCGTCCGATCAAGATCCCGTTGTACTCTGAGGTAACCCTCTTCACTGTCCATTATACCACCAATTTTGGTGTCATAGGGTCATACAGCATGGAAACAGACCCTTCAGTCCAACTAGTCCACGTCAACCATGTTATCAAACTAAACTAGTCTCCCCTGCCTGCATTTGACCCATATCCCTCCAAACTGTTCCTATTCGTGTACTTACCCAAATGTCTTTTAAACATTGCAACTGTACCTGCATTCACCAAGTCCTTCGGCAGTACATTCCACACACTAACCACTCTGTGTAAAAATGTACTAACCATACCTCCTATATTCATATCCAAATCATTTATATAAATGACAAAAAGTAATTGACCCAGCACTGATTCTTATAGTGCACCAATCCTTGCAGCACACTGCTGGTCACAGGCCTCCAGTCTGAAAAACAACCCTCTACCAACATCCTCTATATCTCCTATCTTCAAGCCAATTTTGTATCCAATTAGCTAGCTTCCCATGGATTCCATGTGATCTAACCTTGCTAACCAGTCTACCATGCAGAACCATGTCAAGCGCCTTGATGTAGCTGATGTGGACAATATCCATTGCTGTGTTTCAGGAATTTAAGGTTTTCATGCCAGCATTTACCTGTCTCTCTTCCAGTTTGGCGTGTTCCCAAATTGATGACAGGTGTCCCAAATGCACCTGCTTCCCGCACCCCACAGCTACTGTTCCCGATCATCAAGCCAGCATGTGCAACCATCTGTATAAACTGTTCAAATGGGATGTGCTTCACTGCCCGAAAATTTGGATTCTGTTCAATCCCCTTCTTCCTCATCACACGCACCATTTCTTTACTTCCTGAAATTTTAATTCACAAACAATGCATTAGCTAACAGACAACATAAATAAAACATTTATAATACAAAGTCAGTGACAAATGGACAGATTATGATCTTATGAAATGTTTATTGATAGCAATGTTAATAACTTTATAACTTCTATTAAAATAAGTATTCACAGATAATTGTATCAGAGATAGTAGGAACTGCAGATGCTGGAGAATCTGAGATAACATGAGCTGCTTGGCCTGCTGTATTCACAGATAATTCTTAGGTTTCAAAAGATTAAAACCAAATTCTATTTTGACATTTGTCTTAACAAGCAAATAGATAAAGCAAGCTCAAGTGTATCTTGTTTAAGGAATATTTGAAGTAATGACAAGATTGTGAATTCACACATCTAATGCTCCAATTCTTAGAGACATGGGGGCAGTGAGAATATACTGTAGTTGAAAGAATAAGTTGAGGTATTGTTCTCCAGATTTCTCCACCCCACTCCAAAACCTACCCTGATCCCTCCCTCTAGATATCTTTCCCTCTTCCTACCTCAAACCAATCTACACTGTGCCGCCTGGTCTGTTTGGCATTTTTCTTTTGTTCCTGACACACTCAGTTAATATCCAAAACGTTAAGTTATTGGTGCTGAATATAATTACTGATAGTAACTGAAAATCTAATAAGCTTATGCATTGCAGAAGAAAAACAATGTTGAGATTTTTATCATGCACTCATCAGGACAATTAGCAAGAAATAACAATGTGAAAGGGAACAACAATTTATACTATACAGGAAGAGTGTGCTGATTGGTTAGCAAGTGAACCTTAATTGGTAAAGGTGTTATCATACAGAATGCACTAGGGATAGGATGACTGTCAATCAACTGCCAAGTTTTGTGTACATTTTAAATCAGGCCGGTTTGCTCTGACTAAACAAGTCATTGCACTGAACAGCAGACCAGAGAATGGTTATTGCCTGTTTTGAGTTGAAACAGGCGCAGCATATGCATATTTTCATATATCATCATAGAATCCCTACAGTGTGGAAACAGGTCATTTTGGCCCAACAAGTCCACACCGACCCTCAGAGCATCCCACTCAGACCCATCCTCCTATAACCCACCTAACCCATACATCCCTGAACACTACAGGCAATTTAGCATGGCCAATCCACCTAACTTGCACGTCTTTGTACTGTGGGAGGAAATCGGTGCACCAGAGAAAACCCACGCAGACATGGGGAGAATGTGCAAACTCCACACAGACAGTCACCCGAGGGTGGAATCGAACCCAGGTCCCTGGCACTGTGAGGCAGCAATACTAACCACTGAGCCACTGTGCTGCCCCTTTTCTTTCTATCTGCAAAGAAGAAGGCCCTGTGATTTAAATGTAGCTTCCTGAACACACAAGTGCGCCCCAATGTGACCAACAATCTTAAATCGGATGTCAGGGTAATTCTTGGTATGCTCAAGATTAGCCACATTAGCAAACATACAAATAGGACCTAAAACATTTGCTCGCTGTGCAAGATAAATGTTGAAATAGGGTGATCAAAAACATCCTGCCAGATAATGACTACCTCAAACACTTTTATCTATTCATGCGATTCCATGTTGTTGGCTGGGTCAATATTTATTGCCCATTCATATTTGCCCTTGAGATGGTGGTGGTGAGCTGCCTTCTTGAATGTTGCAGTCAGACTCAAATACCACTAGGTAGGGAATTACAGGATCTTAACCCAGAGACAGTGAAGGAATGGCAATGTTTTTTCAAGTCAGGATGGCAAGTGGTTTGGAGGGGACTTGCAGGTGATGGTGTTTTCATGTATGTGTTTCTTTGGTACTTTGAGAAGGTGGAAGTTGTGGAGTAGTAAGGTGTTCTTGGAGGAGTTTTGTTGAGCTACTGCAGTGTATCTTGTAGATGGTGTGTTGGTTTGCGGTGACAGTGAATGCTGAATGTGATGGATCGGCTGCTTTTTTCTGGATTGCGTTGAGGTGCTTAAGCACAAGTCTTGTTTGCAACTAACAGGATGCTGTTGTCAAACAAAAAGACATTCTGTCATTGCACAAATCAGTAATGTGGTAAACGAATTTCAGTGCCAGCAGATCATATCAAATAGTACATCCCTTCTGCTGTTTACAACAGCCAAGGTACTGACTGAGACTAACCAGCCTGTGCTTAGAAAACACAAAACAGAGTGAATAATATTAGATGTGATTAGGATTGGTTAATATTTGCTAAATAATCCAGAGTACATTAAGAATTACAGAGAAGCAATTAAAGATCTTGGTAAATGAGGGGACGAAAGGTTATAGGGGCAGGTGGGGACATGGATTTATAGTTACAATCAGATCAGCCATGACATTATTAGATGCCAAAGCAAACTGGAGGGGCCAAATGGCTGACTCCTGCTCCTGTGTCAAATGATGTTCACATGTAAGATCATCATTCAGGCTTGCAGTGTGGTGTACTTGCATTCACTGGAAACTATATATAATAACACACATTACCCTGGGCTACGCAAACAGAGAGAACATTTTACACTTTGCATCTGTTTCAACTGTTTTAACAAAATAGATGACAGCCATTCCTAACAACAATGTTTTGATTAATCACAGGCAACCTCCGCTGGTTTAAACTGAATCAAAGCTTAGAAGTTAACTGTCAGTCATCATCTAACTAGCAGGGTCTCTATAGCAACACCCCCAGGCGCCACTTTCCAACCAATCAGCATGCTGTTATTGTACAGTATAAAAATGCTATTCCTCTTTACGATGGCATTCTTGTGAATTGTCCTGATGAGAGCAAGGTAAAAAAAAAAACTTTGATAAAATGAGATTACAAAGTGTGGAGCTGGAGGAACACAGCAGACCAGACAGCATCAGAGGAGCAGGAAAGAAGGATCCCGACCCGAAACGTCAACTGCGTTTCTCCAGCTCCACACTTTGTTATCTCTGACTCCAGCATCTGCAGTTCTTGCTATCTCGTTGATAAAATTAGTTCTTTTTTAGCAATACACAGGTTCTGTACTACATGTTTATCTTGTATGCTTCAACAGCTTGGGCTTGATTTTAATTTTTAAAAAGAAAGAGGAATCTGACGAGGCTTCTTGATGGAGAAGCCTACAGAGGAATATGGGCGGCTTTGAAGATGTCACAGGGCTGCAGTCAGTAGCAAGGAACATGGTGCAGTCCAGCCAAGGCGTCCAAGCTGAGCTGCAAGCCTACCCTTTCTGCAAGGAAATGCTGCTGGCCAACTCCATTTCAACACTTGTGGATGCAGCCATGATGTAATGTCTGATGGCTGACATCTCAGCTTCCATTCCAATATAAACAGCAGCCAACCAATATCTGTTTGCCACAATGCAAGCTCAAACTACTCTTTCGTAAGATCAGCTAGCTGTCATGCTAACCCAGAGTACTGGAACATGACTCTTGATTATAGTGTACAAAGGAGCTTGGCTAGGTGTCTCAGCTTTCCGACAATTTGTCCTCCAAAAGAGATGTTTTTATGGCAGAGAGGCAATGGCTCTATGCAGCACCAATCTCTGGAAGAAGGATTTGTCATCCCAACTATGTCACTCCATCAGGTCCTTTGCTGTACCCAGCCAGCCAGCTAGCCCTGCCAGTCTGCTGTCATCCATGCTGGCACAGGACAGCTTTACAAAAACAAAAGGATCATTATTTAAACTGACAGCAATAACTATGCTAGATAAATCACAACACAACAAATGCAAATATTGAGAGAACAGTTCATAAATTTTTACTAATTGAAGAATAATGTGCTGAAACTTGAGAGCCTAGGAACTGAATGTGGAGATTGGGATTTAAGATTAAATCAGGAAATGCTGAAGAACAGTTTTGCACATTAGAGGGGACAGTAAATGGCATGTCACTAATAGGGACTCTTTTCGACTTACAATCATGGAATCTTAGAATGGTGACAAGCACAACATGTTGAGAACTCAGGTACTGCCATTCCCTTAAAAAAAAAGCATTTCTTCATGTCCTGGTTATTTTGCTAATTGCCTTAATTAGGTGTCCCCTAGTTCTTGATTTCTTGACCAGGAGGTATAGTTTCTTTCCATCTACTCTGTGTCATCATGATTTTGAGCACCTCTATCAAATTTCCTCACAACCTTCTTTGCTCCAAGCAGAACAATGCCAAGTTGACCAATCAACCCAATGAAGTCTTTTATTCTTGAGCCATTTCTGTAAATCTTCCTACATCCTCTCCTTCCTAATGTAGTGCTCAGAACAGATCACAATACTCTAGTTGATGCCAAACACAAAACAACACTCAGTTATCTCAGCAAATCAAAAACAAATTAGTTGACCAATCAGCTAATCCATTCTGGTTTTTCTTCATTGTCCAAGTGACTGCAAATTCTGTCACAGATCATCTTTCCTCGATGATTTCCTAGCACTGACATTAAACTGAGTGGCCTGTAGTTACTGTGCATATCCTTTGCAACATTTTTTGAACAAATGAGCAACATTTTCAATTTTTCAAACCACTCTACATGAAGATTGAAAGATCACAGCCAATATCTCTGGAAGTACTATCCTTAGTTTTCTTTGTTCCTTGTGAGCTCCCTATAGCAGATCTAACTCTAACATTTCTTATAACTGTTCTACATCAGATGTGGTCCTGGTGTCTAATCACCTTTAAATACAGCCAACCAATGAACAGCATTACCATTTTTTGCCCGGGTATGCCCTCTTCTCACATGTAAATCACCTCTTTATTTCCCAATTGGGCCTATTTTCACCATTTTTTCTATTATTTATATATTTTAAAAGACTTCTGGATTCCCTTTAGCTGCTAATCTTTTCTCATACTCTTCCTCTGCTGTTGTTATTCCTTTTTCCCATTTACCCTTCGAACTTTCTACATTCAGCCTCGTTCTCACTTGTATTACCTAGCTGAGATCTGTCAAACGCAGCCTACACAGTCCAAAGGTCAGTACTGTCTGCATTCAAAGGTATTTACTCTTGGACAGCCTAGATGTTGCCTAACTTGATGCAACTTACAACTTTAGAACAATTGCATTTAAACAGATAAGACTGCTTTTAATTTCTCCAGTTCGAGTGTGGGCCAGTGCACATGAGAACATAAGAGCGAGGAACAGGAGTAGGCAACTCAGCCTCTCGAACCTGTTCTGTCATTTGATATGATCATGGTTGAGCTCATCTCGGTTTCAACTCCACTTTCCTGCCTGTTCTCCATAGCCCACCCATTCTTCGTGAAAAATCTTTGTCTCCTTCTTAAATTTACTCAAAGGCCCAGCAGCCACCGCACGGTGGGGTAATGAATTCCACAGAATCATGACCCTTTGAGAGAAATAATTTCTCAACTCTGTTTAAACCTGCTACCCTTTATCCGAAAACTATGACGGCTCACTCTAGAGATAGTAGGAACTGCAGATGCTGGAGAATCTGAGATGACAAGGTGTAGAGCTGGATGAACACAGCAGGCCAAGCAGCATCAGAGGAGCAGGAAAGCTGACCTTTCGGGTCTAGACCCTCCTTCAGAAATGGGGGAGGAGAAGGGGGTTCTGAAATAAATGGGGAGAGAGGGGGAGGCGGATAGAAGATGGATAGAGGAGAAAATAGGTGGAGAGAAGACAGACAGGCCAAAGAGGCGGGGATGGAGCCAGTAAAGGTGAGTGTAGGGTCACCCCCATCCCAGGCCCCAAGAAGACTTTCCACATCAAGCAGATGTTCACCTGCACATCTGCTAATGTGGTATACTGTATCCGCTGTTCCTGATGTGACCTCCTCTACATCGGGGAAACCAAGCGGAGGCTCGGGGACCGCTTTGCAGAACACCTACGCTCGGTTCACACGAAACAACTGCACCTCCCAGTCGCCAACAATTTCAACTCCCCCTCCCATTCCTCAGACGATATGTCCATCCTGGGCCTCCTGCAGTGCCACAACAATGCCACCCGAAGGTTGCAGGAACAGCACCTCATATTCCGCTTGGGAATCCTACAGCCCAATGGTGTCAGTGTGGACTTCACAAGCTTCAAAATCTCCCCTCCCCCAACCGCATCCCAAATCCAGCCCAGCTCGTCCCCGCCTCCCTAACCTGTCCTTCCTCCCACCTATCCCCTCCCCCATCTCCTACCTACTAACCACATCCCGCCTCCTTGATCTGTCCGTCCTCCCTGGACTGACCTAGCTCCCCACCTACACTCACCTTTACTGGCTCCATTCCCGCCTCTTTGATTTGTCTGTCTCCTCTCCACCTATCTTCTCCTCTATCCATCTTCTATCCACCTCCCCCCTCTCTCCCTATTTATTTCAGAACCCCATTCCCCTCCCCCATTTCTGAAGAAGGGTCTAGGCCCGAGACGTCAGCCTTCCTGCTCCTCTGATGCTGCTTGGCCTGCTGTGTTCATCCAGTTCTACACCTTGTTACCTCTCAGTCTAGATTGCCCAACATGAAAAAACATACCTTCTACACCTACTTTGTCAATTTCATTTAGCATCTTTTATCCCTCAATTAGATCTCCTTGCATCCTCCTGCCGGTGTTGGACTGGGGTGGACAAGGTCAGAAGTAACAAGACACCAGGTTATAGTCCAACAGGTTTATTTGAATTACAAGCTTTCAGAACTCTGTTCCTTTGTCAGGGGAACCTCTAAACTCCAGAAAGTTTAGGCCTAAACTGCTTAATGTCTCTTCATAAGACACACCCCTCATCTCTGGGATCAATCTGGTGAAACTTCTCTGTATTTCCTCCATTCCAGTTACATCCCTCATCAGGTATGGGGACCAAAATAGTTCATAATTCTCCAGGTTTGATTTCACTAATGCCTTATGCAGTTACATTTCCCTACTTTTATACTCTGTTCCTTTAGCCACAAACATCAGAATTCTGTTTGCCTTCCTTACTGCCTGCTGTACCTCCATACTGGCTTTCTGCGATTCCTGCGCAAGGACATCCAGATCCCTCTGCATCGAAGCACTCCGAAGTTTCTTTCCATTTTGATAATCAGTTGCTTTCTATTCTTCTGACCAAAATGGATATCCTCACACTTAACCATGTTAAACTTAATCTACAAAATTTTGCCAATTCACCCAAACTATCCATATCCATTTGTAATTTTTTTTATTTCTTCTTTGCAGTTTACTTTCCCACCTTCTTTAGCTTCATGAGCCAAATTTGGCTCTAGTACTTTCCACCCCATATTCAAGTCAGTAATATAGATTGTAAATCATTGGGGCAGAGTACCAAATCCTGTGCCAGCCTACTAGTTAGATCTTGCCAACCAGAAGACCTATTTATCCTGAGTCTCTGGTTTCTGCTGGTTGGCCAATCCTCTATCCAAGCTAGTAAATGACCCCTAACCCCATGTGATCTTACCTTGTGTATTAACTTTTTGTGCAGCACCTTATCAAATAGACACGGGTTTAACCTTTTGAACTTGAACTGAGAACAGTTTTTTAACCTATATCACAAAGGAGCCTGCCTAATCATTCCAAATACAACTGCCAATTCTCAATCGCACTCAAGCATTCTCTCCTCACCTGCATCAATGTTCGGAAACAGAATCAACGTGCGTTTGTTGAACGTTATTAGAGCATCAAGCGTAAGCTCGAACATTTTAACGGAATGTTTAATGTTTGTGGTAACAGGATGCTGTAAAGCCACGATGTACTCACGAGGTTTCACATCTTTGCCTATAAAACCAGAACAAAAATCATCTTTTAGCAGTACAGATGACAACATAACTGTCTTTCTATGTCTTATCCAACGAGAAAGAGGCAGACTAGCATTTCAATCCCTCAATGAGGATCTGGGCATCACTACCAAGGCCAGCATTCATTGTCCATTGCTAATTGCCTTCAGAAGGTGATGGTGAGCTGCCACCTTGAACTATTGTAGCCCATCTAGTCACACACACACACACACACACACACACACACACACACACACACACACAGTGGGGTTCCTCTGTGCTCGTTGCCCTCATTTTCTCTCTCTCATGTAACTAGTAGTAACGAAATGGAATTTTCTACCCATGAGGGTAGCAGAAGCAGAAACAATCAATAATTTCAATAGATGGGAGATGGGCTCTTGGGATTCAGCAATGAAATGGAACTGACTGAATCGCTCTGTGGGGAGCCAGTATGGACTCAAAGGCCCAAATGGTCTCCACCATGCTGTAAGTGGCATGTTGGTGAATAGGGAGGTGACAGAGAGGGTTGGGGTGATTGAAGTAAGTCATGGAAGAGGTATACTACAATCCTTTTACACAAAGAGCATTGTGCCTTTTCAAGGGAGATATTGTAAGGAAGCAACAACAACTAAAAATGCAAGTTGCTTTCTTCCCAAATGGCAAACAAGAGTAAACAGAATGATGAATACGTTATGCATTATTAAAAAATCTAAATGTAATTATCTACAATTTAATCATTTAGAAACGTTAATAGAAACAGGATGTTGTGGTTCTGCCCTCTACAACCTTAGCTAAATAACAGGGTGGGGAAAACAGAAGTCACAGTCTGTAAACAAACATTAAAACATCATTTAGTCATACTCACTTAGCCAGGTCTGCAAAATGCTCATGTAATCCTTGGATCCTGCAGTGAGCAATTTGTCATAAGAAGGACAGCCAGACAACAGGATTCGATTGTGATCCTCACACATGGCTATCAGGTGCTGCTCAGCGCTGCGAGTGCAACACACATGATAATGGGCTAATTTGGTGATGGCATGTCTGATTGAGTCATCGATGGTACCACTGACCTCACCTCCTTCCATGTGCAGAATCCGAATGTTCATCAAGGCAGCTGAGGTGGCGACTGCCAATGCATCAAACCTGTCTCCATGAACAATCATGAGGTCTGGCTTCAAACGGTTGAGTACATCTGGTAACTTCACCAGAGCAAGTCCCACTGACTCAACCATGGCTGCCTCATCCTCACCTCGAACTATTGTATGCAAACTTGTGTTAATATCAAAATCATCTTGCTCAATCATGCGATATGTATTCCTGGAAGAAAAATGAACAAGTCTCATTATCAACACAGGATCATGTTAGTTACAAGCTTATCTTTCTGCCTTTACCACATCAGTTTCTAACATGAGGATCTTCACAAGTGAATTCAGCTTCTGCTCCTGGCTCAAACTCAATGTTACATTGACCCTCTAAAGCAATAGTAGGAAAGTGCTGCATTGTCCAAGGTCCCTTGCTCTGATGCCACTGTTCATTAGTATAAAAATAGGAAGATACAGCAGATGAATGCTTGACTTGAGAGATGAAGACAGGAGGGTTTCAGACTCTTGGGAAATGCTGATTAGCTCTGGAAAGGGTTGCACCTAAGCAGAGCCAGGAATTAGCAGGATGAGTTGCCTGTGCTGTTGAGGAGTCTCTAAAGTGACCTGGCAGGGGTGTAGGAAGTAAGAGTTCCTCCAGGGAGGAACAACCACATGCAAACACTTGTAGAGACAGATAGCAGCAGAATAAGAACTGTGAAGTATTAGATGGGGTCAGTCGAACCAGAGTTATGAGACTTGAGATACCTTCCTCACTCTAACTGAAAAGAACATCATTTTATTAAGAACTGCCATTTCACTAAGGAGGCCTCAGGTCAATCAATCCACATCTAACCACCCGCTCCGAAAACACTCTTAACTGTTTGACAACTGTGACAAATTCCACCATAGTAGTGGAAAGAACCCACAACATCTTTCTTAAAAGTAGTGAATTAAACTTATCTCCATATGTTAATGGATTGTTTTTAAAAAGTCCAGGATCCAGACCACATCCTCACCAAAAGCAAGTGGGGTTTTCATTGACTGAAAGCCATTCCATGCACCAAGTTTCACTGAAACCTATCTGTTAATTTGAGATACGTTATACACAGACAAGCAGACCAATAAACAGGAGTGGAAACCTATTTCTGCTCACCTTCAGTGAAGTTACCATCACATTAGCAAAGACCCAGCTCAGAATAGGGCAGGAATAGGTTGACCTCTCAGGGGAAAAGCAGCAGCAGTTGCCAGATCAGTGGCATCACGACTGACACAGTTGTACAGCAGGGAGGGTCAACGTGTCGGTGAGCAGCAGTGACAGGGGCCTCTATAGTCAGGGGCACAGACAGGCATCTCTATCGTTACAGAGGGAGTCTAGAATGGTGTGTTGCCTCCCTGATGCCAGCGTCAAGGATGTCTCTGATTAGGCACAGAATATTCTGAAGGAAGGTGAGGAACCAGAGGTTCTGGTCCAATATGGACACAGGCAGAAAGAGAGATGGTGTCTTGCAAAGGGAGTTCAGTGAGTTAGGCAGAAAGTTGAAAAGCAGGACCTCTAGGGTTGTAATCTCAAGATTATGTCCTGTGTCACATGTCAATGAGGCTAGAAATAGGAAGAAAGTACAGATAAATACCCAACTAAAGAGCTGGTGTAAGAGGAAGGGCTTCAGGTATGTGGATCATTGGGATCTTTTCCAGGGCAGCTGGGACCTGTACAAGAAGGATGGGCTGCACCTAAACTGGAGGGGCACCAATAACCTGGCAGGAAGGTTTGCTGGTGCCAATCGAGAGGGTTTAAACTAGTGTGGCAGGAACCAGAGTAGTAGGTCAGAAATGACTGACAATGACTAAGGCCAGTAAGGCTAAAAGGAAGAACAGAGGGGGACAGGTTACTGAACACAGCAGGACTGGTGGTCTAAAGTGCATTTGGTTTAATATGAGGAGTATGACAGGCCGATGAACTTAGAGCTGGAATTAGTACATCTAACTATGATGTTGTAGCTATTACAAAGACTTAGCTGAGAGCAGGACAAGACTGGCAGCTTAATATTCTGGGATTTAGATGTTTCAGGCGAGATAGAGAGGGATGAATGAAGGGGTGGGGGAATGTGTTACTCTTAAGGAAGAATATCACAGCTGTACCGAGGGAGGACACCTTGGTGGGCTCATCCAGCAAAACCATATGGATAGTGCTCAGGAATAGGAAGGGTGTAATCACTTTGATGGGGCTGTACTACAGGCCCCCCAACAGCCAGCAGGTGACAGAGGAACAGATATGCGGATAGACTATGGAAAAATGTAAATTCAACACAGTTATCGTTATGGGCGATTCTAACTTCTGTTATATTGAATGGGACTCACTTAATGCCAGGGGCTTGGATTGGGTAGGGGAGAGTTTGGAATTTGTCTTGTGTGTCCAGGACAGTCTTCAAAACAATACGTAAATAGAACAACTATGGAAGGGGCCATACTAGACCTGGAACGGGGAATGAGCCTGGCAAGGTGATCGACGTTTCAATGAGGGAGCATTTCAGGAACAATCACAATAATTCTGTAAGTTTTAAGTTACTTATGGGTAAAGATATAAGTAGTCCTTGGATGAAGGTATTAAATTGGGGGAAGGCTAACTGCCACAATGTCAGGCAGGAACAGGGAAATGAAGACTGGAACGGCTGTTTGAGGGTAAATCCACATCTGGCATGTGGGAATCTTTTAAAGGCCAGTTGACAAGAGTTCAGGATCAGCATGTTCCTGTGAAAATGAAGGACAAGGATGGAAAGATTCAGGAACCTTGGATGGCAAGAGAAATTGAATGCTTAGTCAAAAAGAAAAATGATGCATATGTAAGATTTAGGAAGAGAATACAAAGGTAGCAAGAAAGAACTCAAACAATGAATTAGAAGGGCTAAAATGGACCACGAAATGTCTTTGGAAAGGAAAATCCCAGGTGTTTTATACATATATAAGGAACAGGAGTGTAGCTAAGGAAAGGATAGGTCCACTCAAGAACAAAGGAGGAAATTTATCTGTGGAGGCAGAGCAAGTCGGTGTGCTCCTTTGTATCGGTATTCACAAAGCAGAAGGACATGGTGGATGGTGAATCTCAGGAGGGGTGTGTTGATATTCTAGGGCATGTCAATATCAAAAAAGAGGTGGTGGTGGGTGTTTTGAAAAACATTAAGGTAGACAAGTCTCCAGGACCTGATGGAGCTATCCCAGAATGCTGAGGGAGGCAGGTGAGGAAATTGTTGGGGTCTTGTACAAACTTCTTTGTATCCTCTTTAGTCACAAGGGAGGTCCTAGAGGCCTGGAGAATAGCCAATGTTGTTCCTTTGTTTAAGTAGGGCAACAGGGATAATCCGGGAAATTACAGGCCGCCGAGCCTTCCATCACGGGTAGGGTTATTACTGGAGATGATTCTTCAGGATGGACTTATTAGTGATGGGCAGCTTCAAATAATGCTGATCTTGCCTTGTGCATGTCCTGTGCGGTGTAACCTGTATACCCTATTCTGTCCAAGTTTTTTTTCACCTTATGATCTGCATGTCGTTGCTTATTATGATCTGCCTGTATTGCTTGCAAACAAAGCTTTTCACTGTACTTAGGTGAACGCGAATATAAATCAAATCAAATTAAATGGTTTTGTGCAAGGTAGGTCTCACAAACTTGACTGAGTTTTTTCAGGATGTAACAATGATGATTGAAAAGGGCAGAGAGGTAGATGTTGTCTATATGGACTTGACCAAGGCTTTTTGACAAGGTCCCTCATAACAGCCTGATACAAAAGATGAAGTCACATGGGATCTGGAGTGACCTAGCAAGATGGATACAGAGCTAGCTAAGTCATGGAAGACTGAGTGTAGCAGCAGAAGAGCCTTTTATCAGATTGGGGATTTGTGAATGGTGGTGTTCTGCAGGGATCAGTGCTGGACCCCTGCTGTTTGTAATATATATAAATGATTTGGGGAGTATGTAGGTGGGCTGATTAATAAGTTTGTGAACGACACACAAATTATGGGAGCTGCGCATAGAGAGGAGGATTGTCAGAGGATACAACAGGATATAGATAAGCTGGAGAGTTGGGAGGAGAAATGGCAGATGGAGTTTAATCTGGACAAATGTGAGGTGATGCATTTTGGGAGATCTAATGCAGGAGGGAAGAATACAGTACATGGCAGAACTCTTAGTAGCATCAACATACCAAGGGTTCAAGGCGTACAGGTCCATAGTTCCCTGGAAGTGGCAACACAAGTGGATAAGGTAGTCAAGAAGGTATATGCTTTGTTTACCTTCATTGGTCAGGGCATAAAAATTGGTAATTCTTGTTGCAGCTGTAGAGAACTCTAGTGAGGCCACATCTGGAATATTGTGTACGATTCTGGTTACCACACTACCAGAAGAATGTAAAGGCTTTGGAGATGGTACAGTTTATCAGGATGTTGCCTGGTTTGAAGGGTATTAGCTACAAGGAGAGATTGGACAAACTCAATTTGTTTTCAGTTGAACGTCAAAGGATGAAGGGCAACCTGATAGAAGTTTGTAAAATTATGAGAGGCATGGATAGAATGGAGTCCTTTACCCCCGCAAGGTTGAAGTGTCAATTACTTAGGAACATAGATTTAAAGTAAAATGAGAAAAAGTTTATAAAGGAAATGTGAAAGGCAGGTGTTTATTTTTACACAGAGGGTGGTAAATGCCTGGAATGTGCTGCCAGAAGAGATGGTGGAGGGCGTGGATGGCAACATTAAAAACGTATCTCAACAGATATATCAAAAGGCAGGGCATAGAGGAATGCAGACAGTATAGAAGCAAAAGATTTTTAGTTTAGAAAGTCATCGTGTTTTGGCGCGGTCTTGGTGGGCTAAAGGACCTGTTCTTGTGCTGTATTGTTTTTTGAACAAGTTCATAAAGGAAATTACAGAGAAGAGCAAAAGATAAGAGTAGTTACAATAACTGGGCTGGGGATTTATTTATTCTATTACAGAATGGAATAAGAATCATGTAAAACAGAGGGGTTATACTTTCAGAAATGTAACTAGGTGAATTTTCTCCAATAATGTGTTATTCCAACTGGTAGGATTGCATTGCATCTGGGAGAGGAAGTGACGCAAGCAAAAAGGGCACAGATCAATCCAGAGCAAATGTCAACAGTGAGAATGCATTTGGCCCAGCGAATCTGGAGTCCAAGATTGCCAGCTAGAACTGTCAACAAACAATGGGCTGCCTGCGAAGAGGAGA